CATTCCAAAAAGTCTTATTGTAGCCATTTAAGTAAGCTAAAGCTGTAGACTTTTCACCTACCACTATACACTAAAAATAGCCTCCAATATTTGAAAATTATAATGAAATTTCTAAAAATTAACTAATTTATAAACATGTAAGAAGATCTAATTCAAGATTCTTTGATAATTTTGTAGTGTAAAAATTCTTAAACACTTTACCTAAGATCTAAAATACATTTAAAAAATCAAAAACTTAACTTATAAATATTTAAATGTATACAGCATTAAAAACCCAAACATAAAATTCAAATGCAAAGCAGATTGAGAAAAGAAAGAACTAATAGTCAGAAAATCCAAGCATTCTTAAAAATGTGCAGAAAATAATTAACCCAAAAGGAAAATGAATGGATAATAAACAAATCTCTCTCTCTCTCTCTCTCTCTCTCTCTCTCTCTCTCACACACACACACACACACACACACACACACACACATACACATACACACACACACAATATACCACTGAACACATTCTCTTGAAAAGATAACCTCACTAATAACAAGAGAAAAGCATGTTAATTATTGGGCATCTTTACTAGTTGGGACAAAAGTTTAATAATTATAATGTTAAATGCTGGTCCAAGTGCCGAGTGATAGTAGTATTCTTCAAAACTGATAAAAAGGATATAATAGACATTATGGAAGGAAATTTACCCAGCAACTATGTGTATCTTGAGAAGCCCTGCCCTTTCATATTATCACTCCTTTTCTGATTTTCTTCTCTACCTATTAACGATCATATTTAGAAAGGTATCTGGAATAAATAATGTTCACCATATCATTGCTTATAAGAGAAAATTTTAACAACAATTAGCCCATTAATTAATGGGCTAATGGGCACATGTCAATAAAATGTAGAGCATTCCAACTATGATATATTAGGTGACAATTGAAAGAACTAAGGATAAACTAACAGAAAAGAGTTTCAAATGTATTATTACATAACATTTTTTTGAATACTTCTTCAGTATTACATCGTTTGTGTAAAATCAAACAAAACACTGTATGTTTTTACATATACACAAAAGTGTAGATAAGCCCATAGAAAAAGAGCTAGTAGAATCCATACCAAATTTTTAACAATCTTGATCTCTAGGGGGAAAAAATGAGATTGAGAAAAGATATGATTATGGTGTGGCTAATTTTAATGTATCTATTTTCATTTTTATGTCATTTATTATTCATGGTAAAACTAAACTTTAAAATGTCTTAAGATCACTCAAGTTAAATGGTGAATACTTAAAAAAAAAAAGCAGATTTCCATGATCTCAGACTGCTAAATGATCCCGGTCGGCGGGGGGGGGGGGGGGGGGGGGGGGGGGGGCGGCGGCGGCGGCGACTTCGGCCTCGGCCGCTTCGTTCTTCCCGCAAGGTAAGGAGGGGGGTGCGGCGGTCGGCGTGGGGGTTGCAGCCAGGGTGGCGGCGGCGACTTCATTGGCGGCCTCATTCCTGGCCGCCGCGGCCTCTTTCCCTGCCGCCAGGTAAGGCAGCGGGGGCCGGCATGGGGGTCGGCGTGGGGGTGGCAGCCCGGGTGGCGGCGGCAGCAGCGACTTCGTCGGCTGCCTCGTTCCCGGCCACGGCCGCTTCGTTCTTTTTTTTTTTTAATAGAGAATTTTAATATTTATTTTTAATATTTATTTTTTAGTTTTTTCCGCGGACACAACATCTTTGTATGTGGTGCTGGGATCGAATCCGGGCCGCACGCATGGCAGGAGAGCACGCTACCGCTTGAGCCACATCCCCAGCCGCTTTGAGGTAAGGCAGCGGGGGCGTGGGGGTCGGCGTGGGGGTGGCGGCGGCGACTTCCTCGTTCCCGGCCGCAGCCGCTTCGTTCTTCTCTCCAGGTAAGGCAGCGGGAGCGTGGGGGATCGGCGTGAGGGTCGGCATGGGGGTGGCAGCCCGGGTGGCGGCTGCGGCAGCAGCGGCTTCGTCGCGGCCTCCGGCCTCGTTCTTTTTTTTTTTTTCTTTCTTAAGAGAGAATTTTAATATTTATTTCTTAGTTTTTTCGGCGGACACAACATGTTTTTATGTGGTGCTGGGATCGAACCCAGGCCGCACGCATGGCAGGCGAGTACGCTACCGCTTGAGCCACATCCCCAGCCCAGGATTTTTAAATAGTTGTGCAAAGCTTTATGATTCTAGTGCTTCTTCAGTAGATATAAAAAGATCACTATTTTAAAATAGATTTTTTTGTGCTCAAGTGTGGGGTTTATCTCATAACTTTTATATATTGAAGCAAAATTTTATTGATGTAAATTTGCATTTCTGAATTATCAATTTGTGAAACCTAATGAGAGACTTTTTCCTTTTTTAGGACACAGAATTTCCCGGTGTTGTGGTCCGACCAATTGGTGAATTTCGTAGTTCCATAGATTATCAGTATCAGCTTCTGCGGTGCAATGTTGACCTTTTAAAAATTATCCAGCTGGGCCTTACATTCACAAATGAGAAGGGAGAATATCCTTCTGGAATTAATACTTGGCAGTTCAATTTCAAATTCAATCTTATGTAAGTTTCTGAGACACTTCTCAGTGTTACTCATTGATCTGCTATATCAGTGCAAACTGTGATTTCTAATGATTTTAAGTTTTGTTTCTACTGAACCCAGCTAGATGTTGAACAGAATATAGTCAAACAGAGAATGGAATAGGGAATCTTAGAAACCCACTTAAAGAATTCTTAAAACTTAACATGAAAGACAACTTTGGGTTGAGAGTGTAGATCAGTGGTAGAGACTTTCCTAGCATGCACCCTAGATGTAATCTCCAGCACCAAAAAAAAAGACAACTCAATTAAAAATTGGTGCTCGTCATTGTGGAGCTTGCCAAGCTACTGAGGAGGCTGAGACATAAGGATCACAAATTAGCAGTACCCTAGCAACTTAGTGAAACCCTGTCTCAAAATAAAAAATGAAAAGGGCTGGGGATGTGGCTCAGTAGCTAAGCACCCCTGGGTTCAGTCCCAGTATCAAAAAAAAAAAAAAAAAAAAAAAAAAGGAAATGGCAAATGATCTGAATAGGGGTTTTGCCAGAGAAGATACAGAAATGGCCAGCTGGTGAGAAGATGCTCAATAATTAGTCAAATCAAAACCACACTACTGAGCCTGGGGTTGTGGCTCAGTGGTAGAGTGTTCACCTAGCATGCATGAGACACTGTGTTCGATCCTCAGAACCACATAAATGTAAAATAAATATATTGTGTCCACCTAAAACTAAAATATAAATATTAAAAAACCTCCCACTACTTCACATCTACTGGAGTGGCTATAGTCAAAAAAGATATAATGACTTAGAATAATATTTAATAATTAACAGAATTTAGCATAATGTAATTGAGTGTTGGTGAAGGTGTGGATATATTGAAATCCTCATACATTGCTATTGGGAAAGGTAGAATTCTTTGAACTATATTGGATAATAGTTTGACAGTTTCTCAAAAAGTTAAAGAGTTGCCATATGACCCAGCAGTTCCACTGCTGGGGTTATGCACAAGAGAAGTGAAAGCTTTACTTATTTAAAAACTGTACATAAGTTCATAGCACATTATTCAGAATAGCCCAAAAAAGGAAATGATCCAAATGTCTATGATTTGGGGAATGGATAAATAAAATGTGGTTTGTCCATGTGAAATAATGTTCTTTTATTTTATTTTTTGTGGGTTACTGAGGATTGAACTCACTCAACCACTGAGCCACATCCCCAGTCCTATTTTGTGTTTTATTAGAGACGGTCTCACTGAGTTGCTTAGCGCCTCGCTCTTGCTGAGGCTGGCTTTGAACTCAGGATCCTTATGAAAAGGAGTGAAGTTATGATTCATGCTGCACATAGAGGAACCTTGAAGCATTGTCTGTTTTTTAAGAATAATTTTTTGACTGTTATTCATGTGTTTTGGAAATCTCTTTGAGGTTCAGATAATTTTAGGAAGTGATTGAATCTTTCAGATCATAGTGGTTTTTTTTGTTTGTTTAAATATTTTTTAGTTATCAATGGATATTTTATTAATTAATTAATTTATTTGCGGTACTGAGGATTGAACCCATGGCCTCACACTTGCCAGGCAAGTATTCTCCCACTGAGCCATAACCCTAGCCCTGTAATGGTTTTCTTTATGATTATTTCATGCAATTATATCTGGAAACAAAATTGTGAAATCTAGGTGTTGGGGTTGTGGCTCAGCGGTAGAGCGCTTGCCTAGCACCTGCAAGGCCCCTTAGCACCACATAAAAATAAGTAAATAAAATAAGGGTATTATGTCCAACTACAACTAAAAAATAAATATGTAAAAAAAAAATTTGTGAAATCTAGTGGAAAAGGAGTTATTTAGCTTAATATATTTTCCTGTTTTTGTATTTTGTGGTATTATAAATATTACTCTATTTAAATTGATGAGAATATCTTTACAGTGAAATATTATGCCAGAGTTAAAAAGGATGTTATTGAGTATTGATTTCAAAGGTAATCTATGGTACACAGATATAGGGATGCAGTTATATTTGTGTAGGTAGAGAAAATAGTACTATAAAAATAAATAGTTATTTCTGTAGGGTAGCATTATATAAACATTAATAATATAATTCTATATATATTTTACACACAGGAAATTTGTATCTTTTGTAATTAGGACATTTAGCTGGGGCAAAAATCTCATTTTTCCATCTATCACAGAAATAAGGTTTTTTGCTTTGTATGCTTGCTGAAATACTGGAAGAAATTAATGAAATGAAAGATCTTTTTTTTTTTTTTTGGTGGTGCTGGGGGATTGAACCTAGGGCCTTGTTCATGTGAGGCAAGCACTCTATCAATTGAGCTATATCTCCAGCTATATCTCTATTTTTAAATTATGAAAAGTATTTCAAGAATATGTGTACTATAAATACAAGTTGATGGTACTATAGTTGCCTCCTACTTGTTTTGTGATCCACCAGCTAATTAAGAGAACACTTTGTTTTTCAGAGAGGACATGTACTCTCAGGATTCCATAGACCTCCTTGCTAACTCAGGACTACAGTTTCAGATGCATGAAGAGGAAGGGATTGACACGCTGCACTTTGCGGAGCTGCTTATGACATCAGGAGTGGTTCTCTGTGACAATGTCAAATGGCTTTCATTTCACAGGTCAGTTCTGGAGAATGAGTATCTCTCTCTTCTTACCCTTTAGCAAGAATTGAATTATTAGTTATTTTTGGAGTCCTGTTGGCTCTGTTCTATTCATCAGCAGCAGTTAGAAGTTGAAAATTGTAACTGGGCACAGTGGTGTGTTCCTGTAATCCTAGCTACTCTGGAGGCTGAGGCGGGAGGATTGAAAGTTCAAGGCTAATCCGAGCAACTTAGACCCTGCCTCAACAATGAAAAACAAAAATGGCTGGAATGTAGTTCAGTGATTGAACCCCTGGCTTCAAACCTTAGTACTGAAGAAAAAAACAAAAAAACAAAAACTCAAATGGTACTTACTTACAAGCTTCAGTTTTTCAGAAAACACTTTGAACATGTTGGTGATTATATTGATTTATGTTACATAGTATTGGACCCATCATTTGGCCATCAGTGGCTGTGTTTCCAAGTGGAAAGATGGAGGTTGGAAAGGATTACACACTTGGTTGTCTTTGTACTTACTCAGGAGTTTCCCAGTTATTCAAAATGCAGATTCCTGTTAGTCTTTTCAGTACTTTTGGATTTTTTTTTTTTTTTTGGTACTGGGGATTGAATCCAGAGGCCCTCAACCACTGAGCCACATCCCCAGCCCTTTTTTTAATTTAGAGAGTGGGTCTCCCTAAGTTGCTTAGGACCTCGCTAAGTTGCTGAGGCTGACTTTGAACTTGTGATCCTCCTGCTTCAGCCTCCCAAGCCATTGGGATTACAGCCATGCATCACGGCACCTGGCACTTAAATTTTTGATGAATCAAACCCACATTTATAAATCCTTGGGTTCTCTTGTATTTCTTGCATGATAGCCTGTTATATGTTACTTAGTAGAAAGTTCACATTATAGTAGAGTATACTATTTGGAAGATTGAAAGCTCCTAACATGAAGTAGCATTATAAAGTTTAAGAAATAAAGTGGTTGAACATTGGGATCTGGTAACTGCTGCTTTTTTTTTTAATTTCCTTGCTTTATTCTCTCTTATAGTGGCTATGATTTTGGCTACATGGTAAAGTTGCTTACAGATTCTCGTTTGCCAGAAGAAGAACATGAATTCTTTCATATTTTGAATCTTTTCTTTCCATCTATTTATGATGTGAAATACCTGATGAAGAGTTGCAAAAATCTTAAGGTACAGAATTTTTTCTTAATATTAGCAAAGAGAAAAACAGAAAAGCAGACTTGTCATTTTGCTTTATCCCTGTGTGTTCTGCATGCATTCTTTTTTTTTTTTTTTTTTTGGTATTGGGGATTGAACTCAGGGGCACTTGGCATCTGAACCACATCCCCAGCCCTATTTTGTATTTTATTTAGAGACAGGGGCTCACTGAGTTGCTTAGCACCTCAGCCTCCTGAGCTGCTGGGATTACAGGCATGCGCTACCAAGCCTGGCCCCTGCATCATTCTTGAGTTTCTGCTGGGTGCCAGCATTCTGCTAGATAGGGTGTCACATAGGACTGATTTTTTTTTAATTAGTTGTTCAAAACATTACATAGCTCTTGACATATCATATTTCATACATTTGAATCAAGTGGGTTATGAACTCCCATTTTTCCCCCATATACAGATTACAGAATCACATCGGTTACACATCCACGTTTTTACATACTAGTGTCTGTTATATTCTGCTGTCTTTGCTATCCTCTACTATCCCCCCTCCCCTCCCCTCCCCTCCCATCTTCTCTCTCTACCCCTACTGTACTTCATTTCTCTCCCTTTTTCCCCCCTTTCCCTTCAGCTCCTCTTATAGGACTGATTGATGTAGGATTTATTATTATTTTTTTTTTTAGTTGTTGATAGACCTTTATTTTGTTTATTTATATGTGGTGCTGAGAATTGAACCCAGTGCCTCACACATGCCAGGCAAGTGGGCTACCACTGAGCCCCAGTCCCAACTCTGATACAGGATTTTGTTTGGCAGTTGTCCATGTGGGATGACCTGGGCATGAAGGGAGTTCTCTGTTTCTCTCATTCTAAGGCAATGTTCTTCACCTGAGGCCCACAAAACCATGGAAGTATCTGGTAACATGAAGTGTATGTTCAGTGTGTTAGGGATGGGCTCTATGTTGTGTCAGATTCTCAGAGGGGTTCTTAACCATAAAAGTTCAAGAAGTCACTACCCTAATGAATTGTTGGCATAAGAGATTTGCTAGCTAGAACTGGATTGGTGTTTATCATTTATTTAACCCATTTCTATATTAAAAATGTAGAAAAGAAAGGAGTCAGAAACAGAATGTAACACAATGTATCAGTTGGAGTGAAGTAGAGTTAAACACCAAAAAGAGGATTGGGAGGCATATTAAGTAAATGGCCTCACTTCCTGCCACCACAATAAAATGAACTCACAAGTGGACTTAGTTGAATCCAGTAGGGTAGTGTTGGGTCTATAATATTGTCTGTTCTCTGGACATCTCCAGGGAGGTCTTCAGGAAGTTGCTGATCAGTTGGATTTGCAGAGAATTGGAAGGCAGCACCAGGCAGGCTCAGACTCACTACTGACGGGAATGGCATTCTTCAGGATGAAAGAGGTAAACTCCATTGACTATGAGGACCTCTCTGAAGGGATTTGCTATTTAGAAATAGATTGGCAACTAACTTGCTGAAGGATAAGGAGGTTGGTGATCTTTGTGGGCTGAGTTTGTCAAACCTTTATAGTTTCTGCTGGAAGTTAGTGGCCACTCTGAGAGCAGTTGTTTTTGTTTATTATGTTACATAATCAAATGTAGTTTGAGAGGCAGAAGCATTCTGAAGTGAACCACTTCAGAATACTCAAGTATTCTTGAGCATACTCAAGTCCAGAGTATATTTGGTGTTCCTAGCTGCTCTAATTCTTTAAGTTATTTATTTTTCTTATTTTAGGAACACAAACACATTTGTTAGGCCACTCATTTATGTATTGCTGAATTCTGTTAATTGTTAAATACATGGAGTTTACTCTAATTCATTAATGAACACTGAATATTTCCTTTGATTTCTTACTTAATTCTAAGTTTTAAAATGTATTTGAAGAGATAGAAGAGTGAAAAACTGCTTTGAAAAATTAAAACGATTTTATTGACACCTTTGAGAAGTGAATTAGATTAATTGATATGTTTCCTTGTGTTATTCCTAGTCACAAACCACACTGTTAGCCATGTTCTGGGAAATTGTGTTAGTCCACATTCCATCACTGTGATAAAATACCTAAATTGGGCTCTGTGTTGTGTCTGATTCTCAGAGGGGTTCTTAACCATAAAAGTTCAAGAAGTCACTACCCTAATGAATTGTTGGCATAAGAGGTTTGTTGTCTAGAACTGGATTGGCATTTATCATTTATTTAACCAATTTCTATATTAAAAATGTAGAAAAGAAAGGAGCCAGAGATATTCAACTTAAGGTGGAGAAGTCAGTTTTGGCTCACAGTTTCAGAAATCAGTTTTGGCTCACAGATGTTATTGGCTTTGTAGTCTTGGGGCTGTGGTGAGTCACAAAATCATGTCTGAGAGTGGGTGGTGGAGGAGGCCTGTTTACCTCATGGTGGCTGGGAAGTAGGGAGAAGGAGGCGCTGGAGTCCCAGTACCCCTTCAAGGGTGCCCCCTCAGTGATCTAACTTACTTCCACTAGACCTTACCTCCTAAAGGTGCACCACCTCCCAGTAATGCCACATACTGGAGGCCTTCAACACATGGCCTTTGGGGGACATTGGAGATCTTATCTGTAACATTCTGCCTTTGACCACCAAAGGCTCATGTCCATCTCACAGTGCAAAATACATTGAGTCCATCTCCAAGAATTTTCAGATTGTTATAGTTACAACATTCCTCCAGTGTTCAAAATCTCCTGAGACTTAAAGCAAACAGCTTTTAGCTCCAGTAAAAAAAAATAAACAAACAAAAAAAAAACCTAATTTTCAATTACATATTTCCAAGATAAAATGGCGTAGGGTAAACATTCCCATTCCAGAGGGGAGAAACAGGGCTTAGGAAAGGAAGGATTGAGCCAAAGCAAGACTGAAAATAAGCAGGGCTAACATTAAATCCTGTAGTTTTGTCCAGCATCCTGTGTACATGGTGGCATGATGTGAATTCCAAAGGACTTGGACAGCTCTGCCTTCATGGCTACAGACCATGTCGCCACTTTTGGGCTGGTTCTGCTTGTGTTGTGCTTCCCTTGCCCAGACATTTTGTGGCTTCCTTGAGCAGATTTTTTTTGTTTTGGGCATCTAACTTCCTGGGGTCTCCAGTGCAGCTTTGGCTTTACTGTCATGAATTTATGTCATGTATCACAGCTTTATGTGTCACCCTGTCAGGGGCTGCTTACAGGCATTTGACCCTGACATATACTGCTTGGTTCCCTGGCTTTCCTATGAAATCTTGGTGGAAGCCTTTGGGACCCCATAATTCTTGCCATTCTGCACGCAAAGTCAGCATCATATGGACTGCCACGGTTTGTGGCTGCCTGAGCTATTCCTGGGTCCATTTGAATCCTAGCTGCAACAGCCTTAGTGCCTTGATAGCTGAACAAAGAAAACAAGAAAAACAATTCTATACATACCTCTGTGAGCAGGGAACCCAAGGATAGTGGTGGTGGGGTTTTTTCCTAAATCTTTGAGCCTGCCTTAGGTGGGGTCTTGATGATCCCTGAGGTGTCCTCAAGGCATCTTTCCTGTTGTCCTTGAATAAAGTACTTTGCTTCCTTTTAATGATTTTCATGGCACTAATTTCTTTGCTCCAACTTTAAATAGACTTCTTTTCTGATCAAATTGCATGTTTTCCAGATCTTTCTGCTCTGATTTTTGCTCCCAGTTTCGCTATAAATCTGGCTAAAAGAAGCTAGCAGTATCCATGCTGTTGCCTGAATGCTCTGCTTTTTTGCAATTTCCTCTGCCACATAAACTTGTCTTTCATTTTTAAACTCAGCCTCCTACGAAGTTTCAGGGCATGAACAAAATGTAGACTTCTTAGCCAGAAATGTAACAAAAATGGACTTGAATCCATTTCCCAAGAGTCCTATTTCTCTGAAACCTCATTAGCACAGCCTTTACTGTCTGCATTCCTATCAGCATTTTGATTTGGGCTCCTACCAGAATTACCCATTAATCTCCACTCTGGCAATTCAGGCTTTCTCTTGCCCCCTTTTCCACACTTTTCCAACTTCTTCCTGCAAACCAGTTCTAAAGACTTCTGAGCCATATTGTGAGGAACAGTCACCAGTTTTCTGTTAGCTTTTGATTGCTGTGACAAAATACCCAAGACAATCAAAAGGATGAAAAGTTTATTTTGGCTTATATTTTCAGAGGTTTGAGTTTATTGTTGGTTGAATATTGTTTTTGGACCAATGGCAGACCAGCATGACTGGGAATGTGTGGAAGAGATTTGTTCACTTCATGGCTGCTAGGAAGTAGAGAGAAGGGAAGGGGCAGGGTTCCAATAAATAGCCCCTTAAGGGCATACCGCTAATGACCTCCTTCCTCACACCAGGCCCCACCTCCTAAATGTTCTGCCACCTTCCAGTAGTACCACAGGCTTGTGACCAAGCTTCATTATGGCCTTTGGGGAAAACATGTAAGATCCAAACCATAACAGAAGTGTTTTGGGTCAGTGGTTCTCAACTGGGAATGATTTTGCTTATCCCAGTAATGTCTGGGGACATTTTGGGTCACCATAACTTGGTGGGGGAGGATGGTGTGTTGCTGGGCAGGAACATTGCTAAACATCCTGATACACTGCCAAATAAAGAATTATCTTGCCCTGTAGTGACATTGTTGAAATATCCTGCTCTAAGTGCTCAATGTCCATAACTCATGCCTTGTAACATTTCTGTTATCCCATTTTATACATAAGAACCATGGCTTAAAAATTCTTGAAATGACATTGCCAGAGTCACAAGGTGAGTCAGTCTGAGTCCAGAGCCCAAATTCTTAACTGCTGACTCGCCTGTGAAAGAGAAGGGGCAGGGGTACTAAACAGTACAGGGATCCTGCGGTAAGCAAATTCCCGGGAGGTCTGAGTTTGCTTAGGAGACAGTCTATGTTTAGAGAAAGAATGAAAAGACTATGTACAGGAAAGGTGTGGAGCCCTTTAAAATTAGTTTCTAGTTTGCTAGATTTTCAGGGTTTTTAGAGAGCTGAGAGGGGTGATGTGGCAGTGTTTAGACTGGTGTGACTCCTGGACTGATTCTCACTGCAGTTCTCTGTCCTACTCTGCAGTTATTTTTTGAGGACAGTATTGATGATGCCAAGTACTGTGGCCGGCTCTATGGCCTAGGCACGGGAGTGGCCCAGAAACAGAATGAGGATGTGGACTCTGCCCAGGAGAAGATGAGCATCCTGGCGATTATCAACAACATGCAGCAGTGATGGTGGCAGGCTCTGCTGGGTGGGCCCGATCCCAGAGTGGTGCTTCCTGTGCTGACTGTGTACTCATCTTCCCCAAGAGAGAACACTTTTGAGCAAACTGTACCTGCCATCTGCATCGAGCAGAAAGACTTGTTTTACTGAAGACAGAAGATGTCTTTATTTTAGATCCAGAAGAGGGGAATTTGCTCTGAATTTGTAAACAAGTCTTCCCTGTTCCTCATCCCCACGCCTCTCCTCTCCTGTTGCCTCTTACCACCAGCATCCAGGGATCATTTGACACCTTTTAAAATATCCAGGACAGGTCTGAAACAAACTAGTAAAATGTATATAACTCTTACCTGTTGTCATTCTTTTTATTTTAAATTTGTTGCTGATCTCTAATGAAAGATTCTTGCTATGGTTCTCAGCTGAGCTGAGTGCTTCCAGGGAAAATGGTACAAAATGGTGTTCTTGGGAAATGGGTTATACATTTTGAGGTTTTTCCCTTTCCTTTTTTGACCCTTCTTGAGGACATTTACTTTCCTCATACTTTGGTAGTCCTTGATGTACTGTTATATGGAAATGAATTGCCCACTGCTGAAATTTGAAGACAATTTTACATCATCTGTCTACCCTTCATTCATGATCAACTCCAGGATGGATATTAAGTTGACCACTAAAGTGCCTTGAAGTCTGTTCCACTGTGCCATTGAGATTTGGTATCACTCAGGCATCATCTGAGGTCATTTTAAGTTTTCATATAATGAATTCGATCCTGAAGGAAATGAGTAAGTTCAGATTTTAGGGTCTTATGCATATTGTATTTTTAATAATGTGCTTTCAGATGGTTGTCTGTATTCTCCCACCTCTTCTCCATTTTCCCTGTTTAACTTTCAGCAAACTCCAGGAATTAGATGGATTAATGAGTACCAGGAACGAGACTCTTTTAAGAAAGTTACAGTAACTTATAAACAGGGCAGTAAAGGAACTTGGTTTAGAGAGATCTCTTGGCGTAATATCCCACAAATGGGGATAGAAAGCTCAGGACTTTTTTTTTTTTTTTAAACTAATCATTTAAAAAGTACACTGTGATTTTTCGAATGACTACAGAATGGAGTTTTGAAAAACCAAAAACCTCTTTGGAATGGTGGAAATAAAACCCAGTAATTCGCTGAAGTGGATGAATAATCTTGCATTTTAAAAGCTTATGGAAAACTCAATTTGAAATGATTAAAAAATGTCAAGTATTATAAGCTGGTATTTAAGATGCTTGTAAATATAATTTATGTTTTTAACTTTGTAAAATAAAGATTTTTTTAACCACTGGCATGAAGGTTTGGTCTTTGGAAGATGGAATGACGCGGAAGGGTCTTGCCTTTATGATGTTACATTCAAAACATTTCATCTGGTAGGAACTTACTAAGGAGCACCAGTGGACAGAATTGTCTGCTTCTTACGCTGCTGTCAATTTTATTTTCTGGGGCCACTCATCATCTTTGGTGGATTAGCTTGTTGTTAATTAATGGAATTCTTTAGGATGTACGAATGTGAGGTATGCTAGACTTGGCTCAGGGTATTGTTTCTGTCTTTCTATTCTACTGCATAAAAATGTGGAATTATAAATCCAAAACAGAGCTAATATTTAAAAATTTGTATCCAGTCTGTGTTTTGTTGTTGCCCAGGCCAACCTTGAACACCTGGGCTCAAGCTGTCCTACTGCCTTAGCCTCCTGTACAGCTGGGACTACAGGCTTGTACCACTGTGCCCAGCAGATCTAATTTTGGCTGGGAGGGAGGTCGTGTATAAGAGGATATTTATTACTGTAAAATTTGGAAAGCTGCACTCAGCAGTCAAGGAACCCTGGCACTAATGAGTCTCTTACAGGTGTCCTTCCAAATTTGGATTAAAATAGGGATTTATAAATGCCACAATTTTTTATCCATTCATCTATTGAAGGGCATCTGGGTTGGTTCCACAGTCTAGCAATTGTGAATTGTGCTGCTATGAACATCGATGTAGCAGTATCCCTGTAGTACGCCCTTTTAAGGTCTTCAGGGAATAGTCCAAGAAGGGCAATAGCTGGGTCAAATGGTGGTTCCATTCCCAGCTTTCCCAGGAATTTGCAGGGAAATGGATGGCACTAGAGCAGATCATGCTTAGTGAAGCTAGCCAATCCCTAAAAAACAAATACCAAATGTCTTCTCTGATATAATGAGAACAACTAAGAACAGAGCAGGGAGGAAGAGCAGGAAGAAAAGATTAACATTAAACAGATACATGAGGTGGGATGGAAAGGGAGAGAAAGGGAAATTGCATGGTAATGGAGGGAGACCCTCATTGTTATACAAAATTACATATAAGAGGTTGTGAGGGGAATGGGAAAATAAACAAGGAGAGAAATGAATTACAGTGGATGGGGTAGTAAGAGAAGATGGGAGGGGAGGGAGGGGGGATAGTAGAGGATAGTAAAGGTAGCAGGATACAACAGTTACTAATAGGGCATTATGTAAAAATGTGGATGTGTAACCGATGTGATTCTGCAATCTGTATTTGGGGTAAAATTGGGAGTTCATAACCAACTTGAATCTATTGTATGAAATATGATATGTCAATAGCTTTATAATGTTTTTGAACAACCAATAAAAAATAAATTAAAAAAAATAAAAAAAAAATAAAATAGGGATTTATCTTTTCTACAACTGAGAACAGAATTACATGTCAGGAGAAATGCTGAGATGAAGGGTTGAGGAACCCAAATGTTGAGTAGAGGTCTGATCACTGCACGGGAGAGGCTTGAGATTATTAAAGTGGTTTTAACTAAAGAACTGGCCAGAACTCTGCATAGTGTGTAAGTAGTCATTTTCAGAAAAGCATGGCGTAGAAGGGTCAACTTTGGGTATAGTTCAATCCTATATATATTGCCCAATATTTTGAATTCCCTTGTTCTGTTGTTCTGGTAAGGTGGACTGTCAACCACAAGCCACTGCTGGAATGAATGAAGTCACTTTAGAGCTCTTTTAAGTCCAAGTTACCAGTGAATTAATTTTCTCATTTATTCAAGTCAGTGAATTCTCATTGAGCACCTACAAAGTACTGGACACTTGCTAGGGTCTCTACCCTCCCTGGAGTTTACAATTTCCCTGTGTTGTCAGACAGTAAATAATTCATACAAATAGAGTTTAACGTATGAGTAACTGGGGTTGACATTGAGGGAGTATTTTCAGAGAAAGGGCATTTAGGCTGAGAACTAAAAACGGGTTAAGTCATCCAGGGGAACAATATAGGTAAACCCCCAGAGGTGACAGAATTAAAGTTGGTGTGTTCCAGCAATAAAGACTATTGTGGCTGGAATCTAGGAACAGGATGATAGTAGCCAAGAGGTGGCATGGGAACAGGCTTGCCCATGTAAACTACATTGAAGATTTGTATCTCCCCCCTCCCCCCGCAAGACTCATGGGAAAGGTTGTTAAGAAGGGAACTCATGAAGCTAGAGGAAGAATGGAGAATTAGTAATAAGCGTGCATTCAGAGAAACTCTGGAAGGCCACTGCAATCATCCAGGTAACTAGGTGGTGGTAACCAGATGTTGATCTGGGATGTTGTAGGGGTAGGGGGAAATTAGAGATGAAGAACCAAAACGATTGCTTTGCCACTTAAGTACCTGAGTCATCTGCTTGGTGCTCTGGCTTATTATGGTTCTGATAATTAGGGAGATATAAATGATAATTATTTACTCAAATTATAATAAACATACTATACAGTATTAGACTAGGGAAGGAGTTTAAGAGGAAGATGAGTTGTTTTTGTTATACTTCTGCTATTGTTTTTTTTTTTTCCTTTTCAGAGAGGAAAGCAGATGCACATTCAAGGGAGAAGGGATATCTCAAGGGAGAGACATCTTTTGGGGTTAAGTTAGAAGTACACATTCAAGGGAGAAATGTGGACCATCGATAGGAGACAGCCTTGTTTTTATTGCAGTTTTCAAGTAGCAATTCTTGGGTCTTACCAAGCAGTATTTGTATTTGTGCAGAGTTCCTCCTCCCACAGGTAATGTTTTAGTGAATCACACAGGAGTTTGGAATTTCTAGTTTAATAACTGCTCATTACTCAAGTTGGAAGGGAATACATTTTTTTTTAATTTGTTGTGGAACCTGCCATCTAGTCTGCAGTTAGCCACACCCATTTATCTTTGCATTCAAAGATTCTCTACCCTTAGGACCACTGCATCTTCTTATTAAAGTTCAGTTACTATGTAAAGGACTATGAGGATTTAAATTTTACTGTATTTCCTTTTTGTGATTTAGCATTTTTTTAAACATTAAAGCTAGGCACTTAAAAATGTCTTTTAAACAAAACTGTCTCTCAAGCCTTTTTCTTATTTGAGAGTCCCTGTTAATTTCATTCTTGCTGCTTTTACAACTCCAACCTTAGGAATTAATTGAAAAACTAGATACCCAAGCAAAAAAGCCTTCACAATGAATCTTAAAAGAAAACAGTTAAATTATTGGGAAGGAGTACTCCCTCCCCCACCTGAGATTGTCTAATTTTCCTGTCTTAGTAACTGGATATGAAATATTGTTCAACTGTTTAAATCTGCAGAAGGAAGAATAAGAATTTACAGGGGCTGGGGTTGGGGCTCAGTGGTAGAGCGCTTGCCTAGCACACATGAGGCCCTGGGTTTGATCCTCAGCACCACATAAAAATAAATAAACAAAGGTATTGTGTCCATCTACAACTAAAAATATTAAAGAAAAAAAAAACAATTTGTAATTAAATAGTATTAGGGTTCCTTTGTGGTAAGACTGTAGTCCAATGATCCAAAACTTATATACATAAAATTAAGAATATGCATTTTTCTCCAAAGAGTATTTGTGGTTTTAATTCTCAAAAGGGTTCTGTGACCACAAAAGATTAAGAATCACTGAAATAATTTCTTCCTGAGCTAATGGATCACCATCAATCATTTGTCACAAAACTGAAGGGATAACACACATTTGAGATAATTATTTGTTGCTGTAAAGCTTTAGTAACTGATTTGTCCAAATAAGCAATTCTGTAAAACAATAAATTCAAACTTTCAACCTAAAGTTCAGATGAAGGATCAAGAGTCAACATGATGAGAAAGGCCTATATCACATTCAAACTTGAGTCTTGGAAAGAGTATATGTGGGAGAACTTAGGTTAATAAAAATAATTAAAAACAAAACTATACCAATAGCCATAAAATGTGGCAATTCCACCTTCAACAAAAATGAGTTGTTTACGATCAGGTCAAGTATTTATAAAGGTAACTGTGTTCAAGAACATAACACTTTGGGTGGTTACAAAAGTTTCTCCTCTTTGGGTGAAACCTGCATAAGGCTTTAGAGATGACATAATCACTCTGCAGGTATTAGTTCTGAGCAACTATTGCTGGCTTCCCATGATTTTGAGTTCCAAGTCAGACTCCACTGTGTCTAAGGGTAGACAGTTGATTCAAGCTTAACCACCCTCACTGTATTAGTCTGGATTACTGCAAACACATCTAGGGATCAGAGTGAATGCCTGGCGAGGTATAACTGCAGAGTTGAAAGATGTCAATAATTCTGTGGCACAGTTTCTGCAAGGTCCCTGAAAGTTCACGTGCAGAAGGTCTGGCAGTGTCTTTTGTAAGCTTTAGTGTTGCTGTATTTCTGAAGGAGTTCTTGGGCCTGTTGTTGCATTTCTTGGGTCACACAACCAGGGTACTGGGACCCAATATGAAGCAGGACGAGGCAGCACTCCAGCACATCTGGGAAGGGCCAGGTCTGAAAGATGTAAGGATGAATAAAGACACATTTGCAAAAGAGCCACAGACGACACTACTAATCCAGATTCATCTAATCATTCTTCTCAGGCTGGACTGAACCATTTCCCTCATAAATGACATGCAAAACTAGGGTGGCTACTAGATTTCCTTGTCAAGTGATCATTTTTCTAGTGGCCTACTAAAATCAACTCAAAAAATGCTGCTGCTCTTCTTCTAGAGCCACAGCCAATTTTCTTACATATTGTAAGCTATCAAATATGTGGCACCATTTACATTTTACTTCTTACCTTCCAATTGTAAAATGTTTGATTTCTCTTTGGACTCAGTTTTCAGACTATCTTGTGTGATCAATAATTCTAGTTTCATTTCCACAAAACATTTTGGCTAACCAGAAACAACTGGATCCTAAATTTTTAAGTACATAAATATTTAGATTTTAGAGACTGAAGAGAGAAGTAGATTACCTTTAAAAATCTGTAGAGTCAAGTGATAACACAAAAAGTGTGTCTTATCAGAAGTACTGCTATAGAGCTTACCTTAATACTCTCAGGAAAGTCAGCCATTCTTTTGTTTGCCTCCGTAAGCCTTTTGGTTAATTCAGGCAGAGAGACCATCTCATTTTTTTCTTCTTTACTAGTAATAATAATAAAGTACAAGTCAGGTATCTTGCCTTTAACTTTCCCCCTTAATTATTTTTATTACGGTAAAATACACATATCATAAAATTCACTATCTTGACCATTTTTAAGTACACTTGTTCTGTAGTATTGAACACTTTCCCCGATGTTGTAAAATCATCATTCCCATCCACACCCAGAAATCTGTTTCTTTTTATCTTGTAAGACTGAAATTCTACACACATTAAATGATAACTCTCCATTCTCTGCTTCCCCCCTCTTGGCAGCCACCACTCTACTCTGTCATACAGTTGGAATCATAGTCTCTATCTTTTTGTGACTGGCTTATTTCACTTGGCATAATATCCTCAAGATTCATTCTCAAGAGTTGTAGATAAGCAAGGAGGGAAATTTTGACATTCTCTCTCTTTGGATATTTAGGTTGTTTCCTTGTTTTAGCTCTTTTGAATGGCTCTGCTATAAACATGGCTATACAATTCTGAGACCTTGCTTTTTAATTCTTTGGCTGTATATCCAGAAGTAAAATTGTTAGATCATACGGTAATTCTGTTTTTAATTGGATGAACTGCCTATTGTTTTCCATAGTGGTTGTCTCGTTTATATTCCTACCAACACTGCAGAAAGGTTCTAATTTCTAATGTACCCTCATCATCACTTGCCACTTTTTTTTTGGCAGGGGGTGGGTGGGATACTGGGGATTGAACTCAGGGGCACTTGACCACTGAGCCACATCTCCAGTCCTATTTTTTGAAAAAAAATATTTATTTTTTATAGTTGTAGTTGGACACAATACCTTTATTTTATTTATGTATTTATATGTGGTGGTGAGGATTGAACCCAGAGCCTTGCACATGTTAAGTGTGCACTCTACTGCTAAGCCACAACCCCAGCCCTGTTTTGTATTTTATTTTGAAACAAGGTCTCATTGAATTACTTAGCACCTCACTTTTGCTGAGGCTGGCTTTGAACTTGCCATCCTCCTGCCTCAGCCTCCTGAGCTGCTGTGAATATAATTATGTAATGCCACCATGCCTGATTATATCTTGCTATTTTTCTTTTTATAGTAATCATCATAATGGATATGATGTGCCTTTTGTTTCACTGAAGTCTTGATTTACATTCCCTAATGATTACTGATGTTGAGTCTATTTCATGTGCTTACCAGACATTTGTATATCTCTTTGGAGGAATGTCTATTCAAGTCCTTTACTTATTTTGAACTGGGTTATCTGCTATGCATGGGTAATCTCCCTCCACCCTCCATGACACTGGGGATTGAATCTTGGGTACTCTACTACTGAGCTACCTCCCCAGACCTTTCATTTCTTTTTCATTTTGAGACAGGTTCTCCCTAAGTTGCCTGGGCTGGCCTCAGCTTCCTGAGTCACTGGGATCACAGTGCCACTGAACCTGGTGTGCCTGGGTAACTTATCTCACAAATAACTGAGATCAAGAGATGGCAATTTAATTTGAGGTGATTTACTCATAGGCAGGAAGGGCCTCATGCATTCCTGGTAAGCGCTCTACCACTGAGATACACCACAAGCCCAGACATAAAATTTTCAAAATGTACTATTGTTCTTCACCATTTTCCAAATCCTTCAGACACACAGCTCCAATAATAATAATTTAGGACTTTTCTGCATTTGACTGAAGTCAAATGTAGGCCTAGGTTTCTTTAGAAGATGGTTACACTGAGCCAGGGCTCCTAACTACAGAGATGTGTGGATGCATTATTTTTTTTCTGCACAGAGTATTTCTTAAGCTTCTTAAAGGGGTCCTGTGATTCAACTCTAAGAGCCACAGATTAGAATCCACCCAGGCCTTGTGTAGGCCAGGCGGCACTTTACCACTGAGCTACAACTTTAGCCCTAACCCATGTTTTCATGGGAGCATTTTGAAAGGATTTAAGGCTTCAAAGTTTTAATTTTTTTAAGGTAGTAATAATAGCTATGTTTATTGATTGTTCTAGTATTTTCTGGGCTTTGTGCTAGGGAACATAATGAAGGTAAAAGGTACTTAGCATAATAACCAAGCAGAAATTATCAGTCACTGTGAAGCTTCCAGCAAAGCTCTGTAGTGGTCAGTGATTGGCTCCCATCCTCCACTGGCCTGTTTTCACTGGACATGATTAGGAAGTGACAGCATCCCATAATTTAGATTTTGTCATCTAAGTGTCCAGTTTTATACACTATCCTTTGTGTGTGTGTTTAATAGCATAGAATAATAGAATTATTTTTCATTAATGATGCAGTCATGTGACTCCACATTTTATATGACTGATTTTTTTGTGGGGGAGGTAGGAGTTGGTAGCCTCATTTTTCTTGGTGGTACTAAAGCTAGGAACTTCTGCCTCTAAGCTACATCCCTAGCTCTTTTTAAAATTTTATTCTGAGAAAAGGTCTTTCTCAGTTAGCCAGGCTAGCCTTGAACTTGAGATCCTCCTGTCTCATCAGCTTCTTGAGTAGCTGGGATTATAGGACTGTGCCGTCTGCCAGGCTCTGGTATATCCTTGGTGAGGAAACTAAAGCTGAGATAAAGAGACTTATCTGAGGTTATTTGGTGGGGCCAGACCCTAGAACTCACAACTCATTTCGAAGTCGGTGCCTTTGGAATTTAATTTAAATACTGTATTATGCTATTTCCAAATGACTCCAATCATTTACATCATGTACTTGAGACATAATGACATGAGAGTTCACGAGGATAATTTTCATTCTGTGTTGTGCTCAACTCAGTACTTACCACTGGCTCTGAGGACTAGCAAGGTCTTCTTCCTGTTCAGGTTCATTCTTATCAGGACCATTGGCTGTGGATTTACAGAGCTGACTTTTCTGGTGTTGACGGATCATTTCTGCTAAAGTCTCTTGGACTTCAGCAACAGTTCTGCGTGAGTTCTGGAGACTGGCATACTTTTCTGAAAAGAGCTCCTTACAAGCACTTAGCACTCGCTTACTTTCTTCTGTGAGTCTCAATAGTAGTTCTGCAGGTCTGCTTGGCTCTGGCTGAGGAGCAGCTTCAGGGTCAGTCTCTTCAGCCCTGGCACTGTCCAGCTGCTCAACAGAGAGAGTCCTCCCACGACCAGCCCTCGCCGAGTCACTGGACTCAGGGCAAGGCCTGGAGAGAGACCACCAGATTTCATACAGACGCCCGTAAATAAAAAAGGCCTCCAAACTTTTGAAAGCTGGTATGGCTGGGGATTGATGGTCACCCAGTTTGTCTCTTAGGTAGTCACAGCCTAGGAGAAGAAGGAGAGTACCGAGTTGTACGTTTCTCTATTTGCCAGAAATCTGGCATCTTGCCCTGTTACCCAAGAGGAACACCCCAAGGAAAAGGACAGCAGGAATCCCACGCTTCTCCCCACAGCCAACTGAAGCTAAGTAGTTCCTGGCATGGGACAGTATGCCATCTGTCTTACTGCAGGCTCTGGGGCACAGTGACTGAGGTAAGATCACAATGTGCTCTGAAAAAATCACAATGATTTACTTCAGTGATGAACTGTGCAGCTTAAGGAAGGTCTTTTACTGTGCTTTTCTAATCTTACTAGCTTGTGACACATTACCATTTCTGTTCCTCTTAAACTGGGAAGGCAGTAAGGTGGCAGGTAAAGGAAAATAGTGTAGACATCCTGGTTACCTCTTAGGAGCTTGAATCAGAATTCAAACTTGCTATCAAATGACACAACTTGGCCAATCTTCATCTTTTAATAACCCTGATACTCCTGGTGACACAGTTGTGTATAGGTTGTTCATTAATGGCAGAGGCAGAGATGGGGGTCACTTACCATCAGGGAGGAAGGCCGAGTAGACTTCCTGCATGATGGTGAAGTTCCCAGAGTCGTAGCTCCGGATCACAGCCCGAAGAAGTGCTTGCACAGCCTCATCCCAGGAGGCCACCTGTTGGCTCAGCACTGCCAAGGTCAAGTCATGGCAAATATGAAGCAGGAGCTGGAGAGGGGCCAGAGTTTCAGTTAAACCTCCTTTTGTGGCAGGCACTGCATGTAGGTACACTCAAGTCACAATTCTGAAAGGTCCCATTTTCACAACCCATCTTTGCTTCCCCATAAGAAACTTTCATATCTACTTTCATAGCAACATACAATGTCTGGAATTAAAGTATCACATTGAGAAAATGCCTTTACATTTTCATTTCCTTTAAATAAAAGCTATAATAAAAATCAAAACTGACAGTATAATTAAGATACAAATCAACCAGTTTTAGATACATGGTTTGATGAATTCTGGCAAATGTATAATTCAGTAACGTATCACCAGTTTTAGATACATAGTTTGATGAATTCTGGCAAATGTATAGTTCAGTAACATATCACCAAAATCAAGATAGAACACCTTCATCAATCAAAACTATTCTGTACTCCTCACTCTAGTCCCTAGAGAACACCGATCTATTTCCTGTCACTTAAGTTTTGTTGTTTCTAGAATTTAGATAAATGGGACCATAGAATCTTATAGTCTTTTGTTTCTTTTAGTTAGCATGTTTTCAAGATTCACTGACATTATTTGTGCAGCAGAAATGTGTTCCTTTTGTTAACTGATAAAAATATTTAATTATATAAATGAACCTTTTTTTTTTTTGAGGTACTGGGGACTGACCCAGGAACCCAGGCGGGGGCTTACCCACTGAGCTACATCCCCAGTCTGTTTTTGTATTTTATTTAGAGACAGAGTCTTGCCAAGTAGCTTAGGGATTTGCTTAAGTTTCTGAGGCTGGCTTTGAACTCATGATCCTCCTGCCTCAGCCTCTGGAGCTGCTGGGATGACAGGTGTTTGCCATCGCACCTGGCCCAAATGCACCTCTGTCTGCATATGGATTTACCAGTGGATGAATATTAGGGTTGTTTCTAGTTTGGGCTATTGTGAACTAAGTTGCTACAAATGACTGTATGCAAGTACTCATATAGACACCTGATTTCATTTCTTAAAGTGAAATATCTAAGCAATGGAATTACTGGGTCACACGGTACATGTATATTTAACTTTAGAAAAAAACTAGGGCAGCCTTGGTGAAACATGCTTGTAATCCTAGCTAGTTGGGAGGCTGAGGCGAAGGACTGCAGGTTCGAGGCCGGCCTGTACAACATGAAATCCTGTCGTTTAGTACCCAGAACTGCAAAAGATAAAATAACAACAAAAACCCTGCCAGACTGTTTTCCAAAGGTTTTTTTTTTTTTTTCCCTTAAAAATATAAAAGGATCCTTTCATTTTAAAATGTAGGGGGCTGGGGTTGTGGCTCAGTGGTGGAGTACTTGTCTAGCATGTGTGAGGCACTGGGTTTGATCCTCTGCACCACATGTAAATAAATAAATAAAAATAAAGGTCCATCAATAATAATTTAAAATATATATATAATGTAGGGGCTGGGGCTCAGTGGTAGAGTACCTGCCTCGCACGTGTGAGGCACTGGGTTCGATCCTCAGCACCACTTATTTAATATATAAATAAATAAATAAAGACACTGTGTGCATCTACGACTAAAAAAATATTTAAGAAAATGTAGATAAATCAAGGCATATTCACAAAATGGACATAGGCAATCAAAATAAATAAACTTGATCTCTTTGTTTCAACATGGATAATTTTACAGTGGCCACTGAAATAAACAAGTCACAAAATAATATATATGGTACAACACAGAAGCTGCCTTTGATGAGCCAGGAAATGGGGATGGGGCTGAGAAAAGGAACAACAGTGATTTCAATTTTTTTCCTACTTTTGAACCAAACAAAAAAAACCCAAATGAATATGTGTATTTACATTATTCTGTTTTTCTCCATACTATTCAGACTTAGAAAAAAAAATACTGACCCAAGACTATTTCAAAGCTAAAGGGCTTTAAGTAATCTGAGGGGTTCTGGACCTGCCTTGTTTTTCTTCTGAAAGGCCAACTGTATTTCACTTGCTTCCCTATTATACTGACATGAATTAAGGAAGCCTTGTTACTGAGTGATTAATATCAAGTGCTGGCATAGATACCCAGGTACCTGTTTGGAGGGAGTGTTATTTGTGGCAGATGGATACTGGACGTTTTGCAGCTTCTGAAAGACAGCCTGATACTGCTCTGGGGTGTCCAGGCTGAAGATGCTCTTCCACACTGCAGTCACTCTCTGCACAAAGGGACCTTCGGTGCCTATGGCCCAAGCGTGGTAAGAAGAGAAGCCTCTGCCTTCTGGAAGCTGTTTTTCCTCCAGATGCCTGCACAGGAGCTCAAGCAGGCAAAACACCAGTCTCTGACTCTGGGATCCAACAACAAAGAGGAGAAAGCATTACACAGAAAAGCAGTTGATTCCCTAGAGAGCTTTCCCCGTTCTTGAAAGTATTCCCCTTCGCATCTGCAGCAACCAAGGCCCATCATTGTGAACTTCCTGTTCAAGTCAAGTGATATATGAGTGGGAAAAAGAGGCAGAGTCTAATGGATATTTTCCAGGGGCCTTTTGGGGGAATTCCATCCTTTGGTCCTTGGAGCCCAAGAAACCATTTTTATAACAAATCCTCAACTATAGTATCTTTTACTATAATTTAAGCCACATATAAGGCCAGCCACCTAAAACTTGTGGCCCAGTTTGAGAAAAGATGGGCTGGGCTTATCAGGTTCCTTCTACCTTCCCAAGCCCCAGAATGAAGAATACAGAAGTAATGCATAAAGGCTGAAAGTATTGGGACAGACAAGCTTTGCAGATCTGAGGGAGGGGCATGGAGCACGGACCATCTCCAAGGAGGTTTATAAGGGAATCATCTGATACAGAACAAAAGCAAAGACCATACAGTCAAAATGCACTCTTCAGAATATTTAGTACAGCTGATACGTTTTTTTTTTTTCTCCTTTGTTCTTTGATACTGTGTCAAAGGAAAAAAAAGAAATGTGAAATAACTGTTCTGACTTTTTTTTTCTGTAAATTAAAGTCTCTTCAGATTTTGGTCATTTTATAAAAAATAAACTCAGTGGCACTCTTTAAGATATACCATTTGTGCATCCATTTTTTATTTGCTCTTTCTGAAAGCTACTCCCCATGTAGCATTTTCTTTGGGCTTTAAATACTCAGCTAGGAACTGTCTTAAGCCTATTTACTATTGCTAGGGAAGAGGAATTTAAAAAACTTTTTACTGGCTGGGTGTGGTGGTGCATGTCTGTAATCCCAGCAGCTCCAGAGGCTGAGGCAGGAGGATTTTGAGTTCAAAGCCAGCCTCAGCAACAATGAGGAACTAAGCAACTCAGTGAGACCCTGTCTCTAAATAAATACAACACAGGGCTGGGGATGTGGCTTAGTGGTTGAGTGCTTGAGTTCAATCGCCGGTATAAATCAAATCAAAACAAAACAAAACAAACCCAAAAACAAAGAAATAGAAAATCAACACTAAAAACAACTTCATTAGTATCTGACAAGCAGATATCTAAAAGGGACCAAATGTGTATATTCTTTGGAAACTGGGTGAAGAGTGCCAATGCTTTAAATGTCATCTCAGTTTTGATGTGTTAAAAGACATTGGTAAGTTACTCATCATTATTTTTTATTGCTGAGGATCAAACCCAGGCCTTCAGGCACACTAGGAAGTGCTCCACCACTGAACTACATCTTCTATCAAATTACTAATTTTTAGCTACATAGGGACAAATAAGCATTTAAGAAATAAAACACTTCTATTTCCCTACATATTTTTATAATTTTTTTATAGCCTACAGCTGACGAGAGGTGTTACAGGAAGAGCACCATGATTTTTGTTGGAGGCCAACCATGCTCTCCCTTCCAGGATGACCCTGCTGATTACATCAACGCAGAAACACTAGACTATAATCCAGAGGCTGGGGCCTAAAGGCTATTCACAGATTTTTTTTGGGGGGGGTACCGGGGATTGAACTCAGGGGCACTCGACCACTGAGCCACATCCCCAGCCCTATGTTGTATTTTATTTAGAGACAGGGTCTCACTGAGTTGCTTGGCGCCTCGCCATTGCTGAAGCTGGCTTTGAACTCATGATTCTCCTGTATCAGCCTCCCAAAATACTGGGATTACAGGTATGTGCCACTGTGCCCAGTTTCACAGATGTTTTGTATAAACTGATGAGCAAAGGGAATTACTGTGAATGTCCACATTACCTCTTGTAAGTACAGTAACTGAGAAGACATGGTACTTCAGTGGGATAAAATGGCCAGGGCTTGCTAGACACTTCTAAGGATAAAATTAATAGTTTGTGCAATTGGGGTTATTCACTTGGATTTGACTAGAAAAGGATTTGGGACTCATCCCTCTTAAATCCCAGGAGAAAATAAGACTGACCTGTAGGCTTTCATGTAGCTGCAAGGCTTCCTGGGCTCCCACCCAATTCTTGGCTAGAAGCAGCTCTTGGGCACATCTGAGAGCCAGAGAAGCAGACAACTCATCCTCTCCTACGATCGCAGCCAGCTCCGCCGCTGTTTTAAGTGAGGCTGCATCCCCTTTTTTTGCCAAAACTTTGGCGCATCATAAGGGGAAGTGGCTCCTAAATAGCTGTAATGTGAAGGCAAAACCCAAACAGGGCATTGTCATCAGAGCACCTATCCCTGCCCCGCCGAGGGTAGCATTACTTCTTTCTGTCCACTTTGCTATGGCCTCAGGTGCCACTGCATCTGGTTGTTTTTGTGAAGGCTCAGGCCAGTGTAACTCAGCATGGTGTGTGACAGACAGTAGCTTGAGTTAAGAATATAGGGAACCTGGATGAGAGCCAATCTGAATCCAAACAGAAGGGTCATTCTCTCCATTCTCCTTATTGGGAAAGGTATAAAACATCACTAGAAAATGGCAGAATCTCTGCGCCTGCTATTGAGGTTTTCAGATGTTATGATGACTTATATAATACCAAACAGTCAGATCCTTCTAAATCCTGTGAAGTTGGGTTTAATATACATTTTTAAACATTTTCTAGCTACTTTGCTTCCACTTCTAGACTTGTACTTTAATTTTGTCATGCTCTTGCTGGTGGAGGCTGTTCCTGGGTCACCCATGCTTCCCTCGAGCTTACCATTTGGCTGCTATGGCATAATGCCCATCTCTTTCTAGGATGGTTCCCCAGGTGAGGTACAGATCCTTCAGGACTGGGTCCTCTGGGTGCAACCGAGCCTTGGCAACTGCAATAGCTTCCCTAAAGGCAAGAAGAGATACTTTAGCCAACACCAAAAGGTTCCTTTCTAGGAAGTCCCAGGAGGGACTGCAGGGAAGAATAAACTGTCCCTTTTATGTTGTCTGTAATGTTCCAACTTCCTGTAAAAAAAGGAACTCCTCCATAACACTGGCAAGTTAAAAACACATGATTTTGTTCAATCTTCATCAAGCCAGAAGTTCTTATAGAATGGTCTATGGATTCCTTAGGGGTTCAAGGCCCTTTTGAGGGTTCATGAGGTCAAAACTATTTTCATAATAATGCAAAGAGGTTATGTGCCTCTTAAAAAGTGTGCTGACATTTGCACTGATTGTGAAAAGTTATGGTGGATAAACTGGTGTCATGTGATCAGGAATCAAGAAAGTGATACTAATTAAACATTACTAATTTTACTAAACCCCTCAAGCCAACATTTTAAAATTTATGTGACAAAATGGGAAGAACATTTTATGTTCTTTGCTGTATTCCAAAGAATGACTGTCTCTAATAAAAACCTGAACTGCAAGTTGAACAAGTTGCTTTCTTCATGGCACCCCATTTCTTTAAAAAACAAACAAAAAAAACCCTAACAGATCAGTGTTATTTAGAGTTGGGTATCTGAAAGATGTTTTCTTAAAAATGAACAAAGCAAGCTTATCACTGTAGGGAAATCAACAGTAACCATTGCCAACAATAAAATCTAAGCTTGCTAGTGAAGATTCAAATTTTAGAAAACATTGGGAACCTGAAAGCTTCCCAAAAGATAAAGACTTTTCTTATGAGATTGATGGTGATTACAGAGAAATGTGATTAAAAAAATATTTTTATAATGAACTGTGTCAACATTTGGAAGATCTGTATAACTCAGCAAACTAATATTTTCCAAATGGCGTACAAATTCTGAGTTGCGGCAAAATAAAGTTATAGCTGGAATAAAAGTGTTTTAGATTAAATATTTAAGAAGTATTGCAGGACTTCTATCTATAGTTGTAATGGAGCATTGGGACCAGAATTACTCCCTTGCCATAAAACTTTTTTTAAACACTGAGTAGAATTTGTATGAAACAATTGTTTTCTTTTTTTTAAAGAGAGAGAGAGAATTTTTTTTTTAATATTTATTTTTTAGTTTTCAGCGGACACAATATCTTTGTTTGTATGTGGTGCTTGAGGATCGAACCCGGGCCACACGCATGCCAGGCAAAGCGCACTACCACTTGAGCCACATCCCCAGCCCAAAACAATTGTTTTCAACAGTGCAAAGCTGTCATCTCCAAGAGAAAAGGAACAATGTGTGCCCTATTGTGACAATGACTTCCTATCTAAAGCACTTTCTAAGTGGAATCTTAGTGGAGATTCAGCAGACTCAAGAGTTGAGGAGAAACAGAACAAATGGAATTTGAGGGACAGGATACTAGAAAGGAAGAAGCTGTCCAGAGAAAGACTGCCAAAATTCTGCATGGGATTCTGTTTAGTCTCTGGCTAAATACAAAGCCATGATGTGTAGGACATTCCTTAAGGATGAACAAAGGACATTTAGGGAACCATAAGCTGAGCGATCCCAGAGCTCATTCAGAGCTTGGAGACATCAGATTTGTGAGTTGCTGAATAACACAAGGCAATTCAGTGAAGACTTCAGAAGGTAGAAGAGCTAAACTACTTCTGGGCTATGGATTTCTCTAATCCTGCCCTAAAAAAGCTTAGACCATGTCATGAAAAAAATCTAGATGTCTTCAACTTGCCAAAACAAACTTCAACACTCTCTGAAGGAAGAGAGCAAAACCTAACCAGGATAAGCAAAAGAAAATCTCACCAAAGCACATTATATCGGATTGTTGCAAATTAATGAGAGAAAAGTCCTAAAATGAGAGGAAAAAAAAAAAACAAAACCCCACAGTTCCTGCAAAGAGAGAAATAAATTTAGCAGTCAAGTAAAGAACAATTCAAAAAAGGAGAAAATAGAACTGCTGAAGCAGTGACAAGACAAACAACAAACAAACAACAACAACAAAAACAAAGAATTTGTTGCTGGCAGAGCATAGTATAAAAAAGTGTTGGAAGTTCTTCAAGTGAAGACATTGATAGCAAATGGAAATTTGGATCTACATAGAAGAAAGAAAACTGCTAGGAAATAATAAACATGGATAAATATAAATGCTTAAAAAATCACTAAAAGGTAAAGAATTGTTTAAAGCAAAATATTCATAGTGTAATGAGGGGTTATTACATGTACAACATATTAAATATCATATGAAAATAGCAGACAGGATGGGAAGAAGGAAGTACAATGATACACATGAAATAGTATAATATTACTTGAAAATAAATTGTGATAAATTAAAAATAATACAAACTCCAAAGGAACCACTAAAAAGTAAAGAATATACAGCTAATAAGTCAGTATTACAGTTTTAAATTAGAAATTAAGGGGCTGGAGTTGTGGCTCAGCGGTAGAGCACTTGCCTTGCATGGGACCCTAGGTTTAATCCTCAGCACCGCATTAAAAATAAATAAAAAATGGAGGTATGGTGTCCAACTACAACTAAAAAATAAATTAAAAAAAAAAATACTTAGAAATTAAAAACACTCAGTTCATCCAAAAGAAAACTGGAAAAGAAGAAAAAAAAAAGAATGGGACAAATAGAAAACAAATAGCAGGGCAGTAAATTTAAATCAACCACATCAATATTTACATTAAATATAAATGGTCTAACCTTCCAACTAAATGGCAGTGATCAGACTGGGAAAAAACAAGACCCAATTGTATGCTATGTACAAGAACTATTTTTCTCATATTGTTTTTGGTAATTACATATGTAGTATAGTGAAACAATATATATGGGAAAGATTCGTATCATTCTCAGGAATGTTGTTACTTCTAGAGAAGAGGGAATTAGGATAGATTAGAGGAAAGGCATTTCAACTAAATGTGGAATGTTAGATTTTTATTAAAAAAAAAAGGGGGGGTGTCAGGAGAACTTCTGTAGTGGCTCAAAAGATCCTGTTTCGTTTCACAGGCGGGCTTCAAAAGGGAGTAGGGAGTTCCCACTGTAATAACTTGTTCATCTATTACCTGTTTTGTGTAGTTTCTTCATTTTATATTGCTTTAAAGTTTAGATTATATTATATACAACTACTGGATAAATTCTAGGACCATACAAACCTGTAAAAGTGGTTTGACTTGAGCAGCTCCACAGCTTCATACACTTTGTGAATAGAAAGCAGATGAGAGGCAGCTTTGACATACTGATCCTGGAAACACAACTGTTTGGCAAAGGCTTCCACAGCCCATAGCCATACATGGTAGCCAGATGAAAAAAAGGAAAGATAGTGGTTTAAAAAAAAAAAAAAAAAAGGTTTATGGAAGGGGAGGAGGGAGCAGGTACATTTGGGCTGAAAATTTTGTTTCCCTAGATAATGCATTAAGCAGAACATTCAGATGTTGATTCAACTGCCATTACAGATCAGTTGCTTCTTTGCCTCTTTTCACTTCCATGTTCAAAACATAAATAGTTCCTTTGCTTATATTATTCAAAAGACACAAAAAAGTATTAAGTTCCGGAAAGTGGTTACCCCCTTTGGGGTTAAGGGAAAGAGCAACTGGAAGGTAGCATGGGGTAACTTCCAGAGTTTATCTAGTGGTATATTTTTTTCTTTTTTCTCTTTCTTTTTTTTTTGGTACTGAGGATTGAACCCAGGGGGGGTCAACCACTAAGCTATATCCCCAACACTTCATTTTTAAGACAGGGTCTCCCTAAGTTGTTGAGGCTTGCCTTGAACTTACGATCCTCCTGCCTCAGCTTCTGGAGTTGCTGGGATTACAGGCATGAACTATCATGCCTGGTTGTAAGGATATATTTCTTGATATGGGTGCTGCTTACGAGAGTACATTCAATTTGTGAAATTTATTGTACACTCAAGATTTGTGTACTTCTTGCTCTACATATATAGCATAACTGGATAAAAAGTATAAAACAAAACTAGGATGGCATAAAAGGTTTCTTTTTTATCTTGGAACCTTTCTATCATATCTTGCCCAAATTCCTTTCCCTTTAGGCAATACCCATTACCAAAACTTAGGAAACAGTCTATGAATATGTAACTACATTACTGTGTAAATACAAATGAATATTGCAATATTCTGTTGTGGACCTATACCCTGATTCTTTTCTGTCTGTATTTTGGATGTCCATTCCATGACAGAATGCATACAGCTGCCTCATTCTTTTGGTATCTACAAAGACTTAATGTATGGATATACCTGCTGTAATCAGTCTCTTACTGATGCTGATGGACACAGAGGTTCTTGCAATCTCTGCTATTATAAACATCACTTTGATGAAAGTCATTCGTGTATCTGAATATACTTAAATTCCTATAATTAGAATTGCTGAGCCAAAGGTTATGTGTATTTTAATTAATGGTCAAACTGTCCTTCAAGAAGTTTTCACTGGCTATGGTTTAGATGTGTTTTGTACCTGTTCATGTGCTAGAGGCTTGGTCTCTACTGTGGCAGTGGTAAGAGGTGTTAGAACCTTTAAGAGGGGGGCCTAGTGGATGATAATTAGGTCAAGAGGGCACCACACTTGGAAATGATGTTGATTGTATAGAATGGACTGATTCCTATGACAGTCGGTTCTTAGAGAAATAGCAAACCTTGGCTGGTGATATAGCTCGTATGTATATTTAATATGTGTAAAGTCTGGGTTTAATCTTCAATGTGTGTGCTGAAAAAACAAAATCCAAAATAGCAACAAAAAATCCTCAAGAAGCTGCTTGACCTTCCCCTGATCTCTGGCTTACTGTCTGCCTCTGTTCTGCTTACAGTGCTACCACTATGATGCTTTTGACCAGAAAGTTCTCACCAGAGCTGAACAGACACTGGCATTATGCTTTTGAACCTCTATCCTATGAGCTACATAATACATAAGCTCCTTTTCTTTAGGTGTTTTATTATAGTCACACAGAATGGACTAATGTGTCTCCAATTATGCTTTTGGCATTAATGTGTCAATTTCCTGCCCTTTTGTGGGATATGAGTTGAGGTATTAGCCTACTGTATTGTAGTGAATTGAGCCATTAAAAACAAAAAAATTATTCTTAAGTTTTAGGTGAACACAATATCTTTATTTTATGTTTATGTGGTGCTGAGGATCGAACCCAGTGCCTCATGCATGCTAGGCGAGCGCTCTACCACTGAGCCACAACCCCAGCCCTGGTGAGCCATTTTTAGTGGTTATATATTAGATGATAGTACTTTTGTCAGAAAGAACATACCTACTGGTGCCATAGCCACAAGATTATCTGTCAGCTCCCCTCTTTCTGCTGCTGTTTGTTTGTTTCTGCTCCTTTCCAAAGCATAAGCTGGTGAAATAATTCTGGGTGGCCATTTTCCAAGTGACCTTTTCCTGTATGGAAGAGAGACAGTATTTGAAAGATGTTTCAGAAAATCTGTCTTTGATGATTTCTAGAAACAGGCAGAGTGAAATAGGAAATTAAACAGTCACTCACTTATGAATTAGTCACCTACCAGAATGATTTTAAGGGGTCCTGGAACCAGGGTGGTGAGTTGCCCACTCAACCATTTTCATGTGCATCCTCTCACCCAAAATGAACATGTTTAGGGAATTATGATAATGCAGGGGATGGATACAAATATCCAAGTCAGGGGCATATTTGCAAATATGTAAAAGCATGGAGTTATGGAAAATAATATTTTTACAAAATAGCCCCCAAAGGAAAATGAAGCAAATGGAGCAGGGAGGGAAGTTAGCCAAGCATTAATGTCCCTGGGAATCCTTTTCCAATTACAACAGGCATTGAAGGAAGGAGGCAAAAATACCCATTCCTCACAATCTGGGCTCCTATCTCTCTAAGTAACAATGAGTTTCAGCCTTTTAATCTTTTAATAACTAGCCCCTGACTATCCAACCGGCATGCCCACAAGTTCCAATGATGAAACCACCCTAATTGTATCCTATAAACCCCAAATCCTCCCTATAACCAAAGACCACTGTTGATTCCATGAAATGAGCCCCTACAGTGCCCGAGTGCTTGAATCCTCGAATGAATAAACGGTTTCTCTCAATCTGCTGAGGTGTGCACCCGTCATTTTGCGCTTACAATGACAATAACAGAAAATAGCAATCACAAAAAGAGGTGCATATAAATGTTAGGGAAGGATGAATACGGAAAGGATTACGTTGACTGGATTTGCCTCACCTTCAGTTTCAATCATTCTGTACAAGGTAGCCCTATCTGTGAAAAGCCCCAGGTGAAATCTTTCCTCAAGATCAGCAGACACATCCTCATTTAGCTCTGTTAATACAAAATAAATAGAGGAAAAAAAAATCAGATGAAATCACATAGTTTACTGTTTCCTATCCAATAACTTCTGAATGTTTTTCAAAACACCCACTTAAGACAGTGAGCAAAGCAGATCTGTGCCCTTAATTTACTCCAAAAGGGACCCTAGCTCATTGTGAAGGTAGCAAAATATGAAAATATATCTAAAATTTTTAGCTCAGGTGGGCAAAATCCAGAGATAATGTAGTTTGCTCAGAACAAAATTTTTGTTGAAAAAATGTTAAGGAAACCTAAAATTCAACATTTAAATGCTACATCTAAATAAAAAGCACACAAAACAAAACTAACAGGCAGGGGCTGGGGATGTGGCTCAAGCGGTAGTGCGCTCGCCTGGCATGCGTGCGGCCTGGGTTCGATCCTCAGCACCACATACAAACAAAGATGTTGTGTCCGCCGAGAACTAAAAAAAATAAATATTAAAAAACAAAAAACAAAAAAAAAAACCAAAAACCCAAAAAAAACTAACAGGCAAAGAGTGTCCTTCGTATTCACTGCCATACAGCTGGGTGTGGTGGTGCACGCCTATTATATTCAGGAGGCTGAGGTAAGAGGATTCAAGGCAAATTCAAGGCCAGCCTGTCACAAAATAAAAAATTGAAAGGGTAGAGGGTATAGCTCAGTGGCAGAGTAGCTCTGGATTCAATCCCTAGTACCAAAATAAACAAAACTATACACTGGGACCTACTGTAAAGGTTCATTCTCTGATTTTCAATAAGAGAAACAATGTAAAACTATATCATTAATTAAATAAAGGAAGTCTTTGCAAAGATCCAAAGGCTATGTATAGTAAAAAAGAGCATAAAATATCTCTGGCAAGACACAGAAAACTGATGATAATGTCGCCTCTAGGGAGGAAAAGAAGAGAATTGGGTTTTGGGGGAAGATTTACTTTCTTTTTATACTATCAGAGTCTCATTTTATCATGTGCATCTCTTACAACTCAACAAATTGAAATAAAAAAAAATAAAGTTGCTCAGATATCAAAATAATGGGCATTAAATGAGGGCTTTTTTTTTTATTAGTTGCTCATGACAACACAATGATCTTGACATATCATACATTTGAATCAAATGGGGTGTAATTTCTCATTTTTCCAAAAATAAAAAAACCAAAAATAAAAGAACTGCCACATTATGAGTGTATTTCCAATAAGGAAAAATGGCACCTAAGATAATGTTCAATCGGAGAAAATGGTGGAAGGAGTTGACTTATGCTGAAATATTAAAGCCAAAATCCTGGTTTGGGCACAGAGATAGCTGGTAGCAGCTAGATGAGAATAGTTAAAGCAGAGCACTACATCTAAAAGGAACTAAACAGGGAGTCTGACAGCAGGGTGTGGGGGTGAAAGTGGGTGCAAAGGATGCCAAAGAATGCAGAAACACAGAAAACAACTTTAGAATCTGTGCTCATTAATTTAACAAATAGTAAGCACCCGATACATGCCAGTTCCCAGAAGACTACACATGGGTCGAGGAAATGTATTTCTGTACCTCTGCAGTGTTTTGCAGTTGCTAGCACCAAACAGTCATGATGAAGCTCTTCTTTGGACCTATGGTCCAGGCTTGTGCTCAGAGGAAGCATGGAACGAGCTTTTCTCTTTTTGATTAAGGCTTCTGAAATGTAATCAAAGTACAGACCGTCTCAAGAGCAGATCAGAAACACAACAGAATGATTACCTCTTATGGGATTGCAACCTTAGCTAGAGGGATACTACGGGACACACAAGTTCTTACTCCTATAAACAAACTTTCACATTTAATTCGTGGGTGCAATGTGCACACCATGTATAAAATGCCCTTGGTAACATTTATGAAGCAATGTATCAACTATCAACTCCAAAACATTTCATCAAGTGCTAAAATAATGTTTAAAAAGAATGAACCCGATGGAAACACAATCAGAACACCCACAAATATTTAAAACCTCAACAAACCAATCAACCTCAAATACTTTTTTGAGTTCTCAGTTGCATGTAACAAAGTATGTCAATTATTAGATACTGACCTGGCTTCTCTTTAGGTGGCTCCTTTTTCAGTAAAATGACTTTGTTATTAATAGTGCCTTTTGACTTTTCAAAGCCTGAGGAAACTGGAGTACTAATAACTGGTTCTCTAGAAACTGCACCACAAGGGAAAAACAGGAAAAATGTTTGGGATAAGAATAATGTAGAATTCAGTATATATATATATATATATATATATATATATATATATATATATATATATATATATATATAAAATTAAGAGCTTTATTAGGCCTAGTAATATAATTTTATCTATTACCAAAACCTGCTTTGGAAAGGATGTATGGGTGGTCTCTCCTCAGCCTCACCAACTGGCTGTTTCAAAATCCTGTACGTTTATTATTCAGAACTTTTGGCTAAGAAAAAGACTTCTAGCCTCTTTAACTACATTATCCTCAAACTCAGGTGATAAGTTGCTTTCCATATATTTAGGTCACTAAATAGTAATAACATTTATTATGTAAACAAGGAATAACTTAACTATTAGAGAATATTAAGTATACATGTTACAGAATCACAACCCATAATCCTAAACACACATTTTTTTCCTTAAAAAACAAACAAACAAAACAAAAAAACAAAACCAACACACAAAAAAACCAGGGCTGGGGTTATGACTAGCATGTGCAAGGCCCTGGGTTCGATCCTCAGCACCAAATAAAAATAAATAAAATGAAAGTATTATGTCCAACTATTAAAAAAAATATTTAAAAACCAAAAAACCAAAAATAACAACAAAACTTGCTGGACAGGGTGGCACAAGCCTCTAATCCCAATGGCACAAGAGGCTGAGGCAGGAGGATTCTAAGTTGAAAGGCAGCATTGGCAATTTAGCAAGGCCCCAAGCAACTCAATGAGATCCTGTTTCAAAAAAAAAAAATAAGAGCTGGGGATGTGGCTCAGTGGTTGGGACCCCTAGGCTCAATCTCTGATACCAAAACAAACAAAACCAAAAAATCCTGTTGACCTATAGGAGTAAAGAACATTTTGTATAGCCATTAGGTGATATGAAGACATTCTGATGAACCTAAAATATAAATTATGTTTTTAGCTTTTTTTTTAACCCAAACTACGGGTCCAGCAGCCATTCTTTGGGACACAGTAGGTCAGGGATGCCTCTATACTATATATTTTGGTTGCACTGATTCTGCCACATCAAAAATAGTGTTTTAGAATTAAACATAAATCATCAGTTCTATTTATACTGTCTTCTACTTAATCATATTTTTTAGTTGGTAACAGGCATCCGATATTTAAGGTTGTATATAAAAGGATAAAAGTGTTAACACTTTAGTTATCCACAACAATTTACTTATCCTTAACAATTACTTCTCTTCAAACATGAACTAGAATACATTATTGAAAATTAGTAATGGAATTTTTTTTGTGTGTGAGAAATCTGAGAACTGCCATATAACTTAACTGGATGGAAGAACTTAACAACTGTTCTTCAGTTTCCCTCTGATAAGGCAGAAAGGCAGGAATGAGCTCCAGGGAGGATGGGTGGGAACTCCTAAGTTCCCAGAGAGGAGTGGCTTGTATAGTCAGACATTTTTAAAGGACAGTGGCTTCTTTGAGTAGATATGACCAATAACGTCATACTGTTAAGACCTTTTCCTGGTATTCTCTACAGGGTTCTATTTCCTTTATTCCTTCATCAAAGATGTTTATTTTAGAGACTTTAAAAGCTTTGAAGAAAACTAATAGTTTCCAAAGGCACCAAAGACACCAAGGTTGCACCAAGCAACCAAGGTTGCTTGCTAGGGAGTTGGGAAATGAGGAAAGAAAGTAGTTGGGAAATAAGGCAAGTCAGAGATAGAAATTTCAGACCGAGTAAGAATCCAGCTTAGTTTCCTAGATATGACAAAATCTTAAGAGTTAGTGGCATCCAGTACCTGCACACACCCACTAAAGCAAGGCCACAGGGTGACTCTGGCTCCTGTGCTTCTTCCTCCCCTTCCTGGTCTGACACTCCATTTTCAACAGGTCCTGAGTTCTCCTTTATGCCCTCTTCTTCGTTCCCGTCAAATGACTCTTGCTTTACAGGCACACGGAAGGTGGGCTTTTTCTTCTTTTTGGCCTTTGGCTTAGGTTGAGAGAGCCGTTTTTTCTCTAATTCAATACTTTTTTTGCCTGCAAAAATCACAAAAAAGAAAAAAAAATCACAAAAAAGCACAGGCTGAACTACACATTCATGGTTAAAAGTGCCCTGGATGGTCATCTCCAGTACATCATTATATTACTCTTTGCTCTGACAGCCTTACTCGCCTTACTTTCTTTTCTTCCCAATGAAGTTTTATAGTCTTATTATCACAATGTTAACCAAGCCTTTTGAGATTTCATTAAATCATCAAGAAAGACTTTCTCCAACATCACCATGCCACAGCCGCTGAGGTCCGAAAATCAACACTGCTACACTATCTACTCCCCACACTCATTAATCAACTTTTGCCAACTGCACCAAGGATGTCTTTATAGCAAAAGCAACTGAACCAGGACCACCCACTGCATTGGACCGTCCATGCCTTCAACCTGGAAGAGTTGCTTAGCTTTTCTTTGACTTTCATGACTTGAAATTTGAAGATTACAGGAGAGTAATTTTGTTAATTTCCCTTCAATTTGGGTCTGCCTGCTGTTTTTTAAAGATTCAGTTATGCATTTTCAGCAGGAATATACAGAAGTGAAGCTGTGTTCATTTCAGGGCAACCTATGAGGTAGCATATAATTTTTATTTGTTCCATTGTTTGGTTTAATCACTTTAAATTAATAGGGCATACTGTAGGTTACCCACCGAAAAAGTAAAATATCTCCTGTTTATTATTAAGCATCCATGGATTTTTTTTTACATCAGTATGAATTTCTTCATTAGAGTATAATTTGTTAGTGTTACTCATTTTTTAAGTTTTTATTCTTATTTTAAAAATCACCTGTACTGTGGAATGATTTAATACAATAAAATACCCACATTTTTAATACTTTGATAAATTGTAACAGATCATAATTGTGTAACCCACCACCATGAAATGCATCCCCACCCCAAGCTATCACTGACCTGCTATTACTCTAGTTTTGCCTTGTCTAGAACTTCATAAATAGAATTATATAGTATGTAGTCTTCTGTGTTCAGTTTCTTATGCTCAGCATAATTTTTTTGAGATTCACTAATTTTGTTGTTTATCAGTACCTTTCTATTCTTTGATTTGGGGACTGAACTCTGGGTCTCGTGCTAAGCACATGCTCTACCACTAAGCTGCATCTCGCCTGTTACCTTCTCTTTTATGACCAAGTGGAATTCCATTGCAGGGATACTACACGATTTACTCATTTATCTACTGATCAGCATTTGAGCTGTTTTTAGTTTTTGGCAACCACAGATAAAGGTGCTATGAGCATTCTTCAAGTCTTTATGTGAACACATAATTTCATTTCCTTTGGGGAAATTTCTAGTTGCTTAATATATTCTAATTTTTCCAGTTGCTTATGGCCAGAGTAGAATTTTCCTTTTACTTATTTTCAAGTACAAATCCTCTCAAATTTGGTCAAGCTGGCTTTTGTGTCCTTCTGATGTGTCTCCTTAATTCTTTGAGTTCATCTTTCCTTTCTGGAATAAAGGAAGGTTCTAGGTTCATATTTAGCAACCAAGATCTGACCCCTAGGCACACTTGCTACTGTCTGAGGGTGTTGTTCTCAGCCCCCAAAGCCTGCCTGCTTTGCATGGGCTGCAGACCCCCTGCATGAATGTCTTCCTTGCTTGTCTCTTATAAACTCAATTAAGAGAGCAAGAGAGAGAGGGAATTAGGCAAGCACTGTATGGGTTCCATGTTCTGACTGACCTTGAGGAGGCCGGGAATGAACTTGCATGGAAGTTAGCCATTTGTATACACAGAAGTCATCTGCCCCTGAGTAGATGCAATCCGGATCCAAAGGAGACCATGACACACAAAGCAGTCGGCCTCGATGTCCTCGGAAATTATAAAGAGGCTCTTCTCGGAGAGTATCCCATACCTGAAACCAGAAGTCACATACATGACAATAAATTTTCTGGTTATTCTATTGTTTGGGGGGGGCATAATTTATTCAATTAAAAAAATCTGTAGGGGGGGGTTGAGTTGTGGTTGAGTGGTAGAGCACTTGCCTAGCATGTGTGAGGCACTGGGTTCGATTTTCAGCACTGCATATAACTAGGTATATAAAGGTCTATCAACAACTAAAAAACATTAAAAAACAAAAAAACAAAAATAAAAACCTGTGGGCTCTTTATTTCCTCATGTGGTTTGTAATTTCTCTCTTAGGAGTTCAATTTCACAGTACTATTTCACGTGGGAGGCTTATATGCTCCAGTGAGTTTAGGTATTCCTAAGAGGGAGATTCTGAATGGGCTTTTATTGATGCACCATGGATCACACTGTTCCAAACTGGATCTATCTGCTAATATTTGGTCTGGGGCTTCTGGCATCACGAAAAAAATAATCCATACCTACATTAGAAATTGGAGTTATAATTTCCCATAGGTAATTCTTTTGTTCCCAAGTCCTTGGACAAATGATTAGCTGCTTTGTTATTTCTTTAATTATCTTTGTGTCCAGTTCAAAGAAAGCAGGCCTGTCTTCATGGCTCCCAGTTTGTGCAAACAACTGAATTACAATTCAATACTGAGACAGACACCAATCACAGATGTTAGTTCCCTAGCTGCTATGGTCAATTCTGGTTTTAACACCTAAACTTCTTCAACATAGCTCTGGCCTGGCAGCTCATCTTTATTTTCATTTTTCTGTTTGAAGAAAGAGAACTTTTCATATCAATTTATCTTACCATATTCATGGTATGTCACCCGGCTTGGCCTGCTAAGGGTCCAGATAAAACTAAAATGCCTTCTAGAGTTCAGATAATCTCTTTCTGTGGAGGGTGAGAGTGGAGATGGAAAACATGTTCATAACTGGAGGGGGAGGGGGGAAGAGGACAGAGTTTAAATTAGTGAGAGCCCAAGTGGCCAGGACAAAACAGTACCTGGGCTGTACCATCATAGGAAGCAGACACCAGCCTTCCATCATGATGTGGGCTCCATGCCAGACTAGTGATCTTGGCCGTATGTCCAGAGAGGGTCCGGTAGGGCTCTGTAATGGTCACTGGAGCCTCAGGATTGCTCTCTAAAAGGTAGGAGAAAGATGTTACTACTACTGTTACTAGCAATAACAAAACAGACTAGATGAAGGTGTTAACTCTTATTAATGCAAGAGTCAAGATTCTGTCAGATCTGATTTTTAGCAGATAATACTGTTAGTGGCTAAGTATATGGGCCTATTAACAGGGTCTGGGCAAATACAGGTTTAACACAAAAAGTGTTAGCTATTATTATTTCCTTACAGAAGCCATCACAATGAAAATAATGCCTTTTAGATGTAATCCTATGAAGTACATATCTGTTGGGAGCCATTAGCCAAGTAGGTATGACAATTTCCTTGCCAGCGTACCCCATGTTGCTGACATGTTGCAGTGACATTGAATGTAAGTGACCTTGCTCAAGGACCAAGGCAGATTAGGGTGTTCCCGGTTTTAAGATAATCTTGTTTAGGGCGTTCCCAGTTTAGGTTCCAGGTTTAAGGTTTAAGATTATTCCTGCTGGGAATAGGGCGTATCCTGCTGCCTGAGTTCCCCTTGAGTTCTCACGGGATTCAGACAGTATATTTTGGAGATAGAAGCCCAGTGGAGGTGAATTTGGGAGAGAAGGTGGATTTGGGCAGAGAACGTGGATTTGGGCAGAGAACGTGGATTTCCCCAGAACGTGATTGTAGACGGCTGGTGTGAGTTCGGGAATAAAGAGTTGCTGTTTGAATCTACAAGCTGTGTGGTGGCTCGTGATTGTGTGCCCAGCCAGACTGCGGCATTTGTGCCCAGCCAGACTGTGGCACATATCCTTAATGGTACAGTATTCTTGATAAAAACATATAATATCAAGCTAATTATAAGAAAATCCCAGATAAAACCAAATTGTAGGAACTTGTAAAAAAAATAACTGTTTTGAGCTAGGGATATAGCTCAAATGGTAGATTGCTTGCCTCACATGCACAAGGCCTTGGGTTCTAATCCCCAGCACCACAAAAAGAAAAAAAAAGTTTAGTATTCATCAAACATAGCAAAAATGCTAAATGAATCTGGCAAAAGGTAGATGAAAGTCTTTGCATTCTTATTGCAACTTCCTTTAAAAACTGAATTATTTTTAAAAAAAAGATAAAAATATCAAAACTAGGATGGTAGCTGGGTGTGGTGGTGCACTCCTATAAATACAATAGCTCAGGAGGCTGAGACAGGAGGGTCACGAGTCCAAAGCCAGCCTCAGCAAGAGTGAGGCCCTAAGCAACTCAGTGAGACCCTGTCTCTAATAAAATACAAAATAGGGCTGTGGATGTAGCTCAGTGGTAAGTGTCCCTGAGTTCAATTCCTGGTACCCAAAATGAATGAATGAATAAATAAATAAATAGTTAAAAAACAAAGATCTGTGGTGCTATGAAAAATAAGTTGATGTCCTTTGCCAAAGTGGATAATCACAATGCTCATTAGTTATAGTGTATCTACTATGTATTATTACAACCCTAATGTGTCTAAACTTTAATACTTTTCCCACATTGCTTTTAATTCAGGAGAGTGACTGTTAGAATAAATTTTTTTTTTTTGTTTCAGAAAACAAAAATTAGTTCAACAGAAATTAAAAATCAACTGTTTTCACTATTGCTGAAAGAAATCACTCTGCAACACTATGAACAGTTTAGTGATAGGTAATTTCTATATATTGGGGGAAAATGTAATCCCATTTCCCTGATATTAAAAAAAAAGGTCCATTGGGGCTGGGGTTGTGGCTCAGTGGCAGACCACTTGTCTGGCATATGTGAGGCACTGGGTTCGATTCTTAGCACCACATATAAATAAATAAATAAAATTAAATTAAGTAAAGACAAATAAATTAAATAAATTAAAGATAAATAAATAAAGACAACTAAAAAGAAAAAAATAAAGAAAGATCCATTAGGTGTGGTGGCTCATGCCTGTAATCCCAGTGACTTGGGAACCTGAGCCAGGAGGATCCAAAATTCAAGGCCAGACTGGTCAATTTAGCAAGATCCTGTCTCAAAATGGCTGGATATGTGAGTCAGTGAGGGTGCTCCTGGGTTTTGTTTAATTGCCAATACTGCAAAAACAAAACAAAATAAAACAATAACAACGAAAAGCAAAAGCCCTTCTGACCTTCTGAACTGTGGTTATCAGTAGGTGCTGAAAGGGACTCAAAGCTGTTTAAGGTTCCTTCAGAGGTAAATCACTCATGAAAAAGTTAAACTACCAAGCAGGAATAGTATTCCTAGAACACATGCAGACTCTGGGATGAGGCTGTAAGCTTGGGTCTCGACTCTGTTGTATACTAGCTGTGGAAGAAGTTAGCTAACCTCTTTGGACTGGACCTCAGATTCTACATGAGTGAAGTGAGGAGAACAACAGCCATCTCACAAGATTATGAGCTTTAGATGTCATCAAAGATGGGAATGGGCTGTGTGTCGAAGGTGGATATAACACAGCAGCCCTGCTGAAGGGAGTATAAACTGGCAGCTTTTGGGACAGATTTCAGCATTAACTATTTAAAAAACTGTTTTTTTTTTTAAATATATTTTTAGTTACCAATTGACCTTTATTTTATTTATTTATATGTGGTGCTGAGAACTCAGTGCTCTGCCACTGAGCCACAACCCCAGCCCCCCCCCCAAAAAAAAAAAAATCATGTTTTTAATGTCCACATCTCTTCACATCTACTTTTAGAAATTTTATGTAAGAAAACTAGTCATGCTCCTGAAGATTTCAGAAGTAATATTACTTCTGAAAAAATGTAAATAATTTTAATGACAATCAATTGTGAATGGATAAATTCTGGTGTATTCATATTATGGAATGAATACATATTTGCTAATACCAAATTTTCATGTTTTGAATTTGTACAAGAAAATTCACAATATAAATATAATAATATATAATGCGTACACATACGTGTATGTATTCTTCATTCTCTAAATTAACATTTTTGTCATGTTTGTAAGACTTTTAGAGTAAGATGAATACAGTGTTTTTGAAAGGAAAAAAAAGAAAGGAAAAAAAAAAGCCAAAAATAAAGTAAAAACATACAAAGAACAGAATGGAAAGTAGGTGAATGAGTAATATAACCCCCCCAAGTATGGAAGAAACCAAAGTTACCTAGGACAGTTCTCAGATTGTGCACATAAATGACGGCATTGTTGGAGCCAGAGGCCATCAGATAGCTCAGCTCAGGCTGGCTGCCATGATCCTGATGCCAGGAAATGGTATTCACAAGCTTGTGATGCTGTTGGATGGTGCAGATCAGTCGTAAGTTGGGAACCTGAAATATTTCTATTGATCTGGAATAAGAAACACCAAGACAAGAGGGATAATCAAATTACAGTGCAGTGCAAACAAACAGCTCCCTTATCCACCAGTCTAGGAAAGGTGAAATAGAATGAGATAATACTCACCGTAAAGGCCATTCTCTCATGGAGAACCAGATATAAAAGGTTGCTTTATGAAATAAGCATATTCAGCATTTAAAAATTCTAACACTGTCTGGAAAGTTGTATTTGTTAGGCATTAATAAATAATACACGGTGGTGGGAAGCTAAAAGAATTAATGACCGTTGTATGAACTTGGACTATGTATGTCATTGTGACTAACAATGGAAGGAGTGAGATCTACAAAGGATTTCTGCTTATTATTATTAAAGAGATGCTGGGATTACAGGCATGTGCCACCGCACCCAAGTTAGTATTATTTCTTAAAAATGGAGTGTAATGAAGGCAGTTTAATGAAGGAGATGACCATTTGTGAGGCATAAAATAGCCTAAACATACTATAGGCAAATGCTATCTTTGAACTAAAATTAATCTAAATAATTCTGTTGTTCTCAAAGATGCAGAGAGCTCCTGGATCAGTTAAAGATATCAATGATAAATCAGAATATGAATTACAACGTGGCTTCCCTCATTAACATTACAGATGGCATCAGCCAGCTTGTGATTCAAAATACGTACTACTGCAAAGTTATTTCTTTTTTAAGAAAACAAATACATACCCATCTTCATTGCCAAGAGCCATGATTTTGCCATCTGCTTTCCAGCTGATCTCTGTGTGTACAGGCAATTTGTACTAGAAGCAAAACAAACCAATCCTGACTAAACACTGTTCTTTTCTCCACACATCTTATAAATCAGTGATGACAGGATGGTGTGGGGGGGAGTCCCCAGAGTTAAAACATGTTCTAATTATACAACAGCCATTCTCCTAAACAGTCTTCTTAATTAGTTCAAGAATTACAAAGAACAAAAATTCTTATTATGACTTCCAAAATGGGACAGAGAGACCAGTAACAACTAAACATCTACAATGTTTAACCTTGTGAAATAAAATTAACTGAAGCAACTTTTGTCCCACAGGGAAGAATGAAATGTGCCCACTAGTCTTCCCAGAAGGTTTCTTGGTCCTTAACAAAAGCTTTTCTTGTTTTCTTCTTTCCTTTCAGTTTTCCAGAATTCCCACCCTTGCCACCTTTACATTTTGTAGGTCCCTAAGACATCTTGGGTCCTCTTCTTTTCTTAGTTTTATTTTTCTTTTTAATCCTATCTCACACACACCCAGAAGTTTTTCATCTATCATTTATGTGAAGGGATTCAAAATTTCTATTTTCAGTTCAGACTCCTTGTATAAACTTTTGATGCATATAACCAATTGCCACTAAACTAAAAACTTGTCAGAACAGTAATTTCTTTTCATTATCGAAGGTTAATGTATAGATAACACTTTAGACAATGAAGGAATATAATTAAATATAATTATGATTAAGTGATATTTTTATTCTGGCCATACAAAAATATTGAGCAGTGGGGTTGTGGCTCAGAGGTATAGCGCTTGCCTAGCATGCGTGAGGTACTGGGTTAAATCCTCAGAACCACATAAAAATAAAATATATTGTGTCCACCTAAAACTAAAAAATAATATTAAAAAAAATACTCATTTGAAAGGGTAAGGAAATCTTATGGTTAGACTTTTTTTTAAAAAAAAATATTTATTTTTTAGTTGTACACAACACCTTTATTTTGTTTATTTATTTTTATGTGGTGCTGAGGTTGAACCCAGGGCCTCACACGTGCTAGACGAGCACTCTACTGCTGAGCCACAACCCCAGCCCTTATGGTTAGACTTTAAAAGACATTTCTGGCATACACATGCATTAATAGGAAGTTAAAGCAAAAGTGATTAAATATGGGAATCTAGGTAAAGGAAACAAGAAAATTGTATTTTTTTTGCAGCTTTTGTAATTCTGAAATTATTTCCTTTAAAGACAAAATTCCAATTCAATCTTGAGAAAAAAAAAATCTGTAGCCGCATTTAGAAACCATATGACAGGGCCATTTTTGCCACAGTATCATTTTGGTTGAAGTGGTTGGCATAAAAAGGATGTTTATTGTCAAGATCTGAAAATCAAGTGGAGCACACCTGTATTCCCAGCGGCTCACAAGGCTGAGTCAGGAGGATCATGAGTTCAAAGCCAACCTCAGCAAGAGCGAGGTGCTTAGCAACTAAGTATTTTAGCTGATTTTCTAAGTATTATAGTAATCCTCTTGTTGGATGAACAGAATATAATTCCAATGCTGCTTGAGTTCTGATGATACTATTTATCCTCTCCACAGTAAGGCGATTACTATGGAAATTTACAGTTGTTTCATTGTAGTTAAGGAAAGTGTATCAAAGACTTTCGTTGAATACACTCAAAAAGATATTATGAAAGACACATCACTTATGGGAAAGACAAGACTGAGGGGCTAGAAGTGGGAAAGGGGTGAAAAGTAGTAGTCAAAGGCCACGATCCAGCATGAGAAAACTACGTAAAATGAAAAAGTTCAGTTTAAAGACAGTAATGCTTAAGAGTTGTGGGGGCAGTCTGGAGAAGCTTATAGGTAAATGTTTTCTTCTGCAATTCTATTTTGTAACCTGCCACTATTGCTTTCATGGACCCCTAGGACTAGCAGACAACCAAGCAGTCACTGCACTAGAACATTTATGACTCTTTCTTACTTTCATATCCTAGAATTAAATTGAAGAAAAGAAATTATATTTGTTAAGAATGGCTCAGACACTTACCAAGTGACATTGGGGATACGGGTGGTCCCCAAGCTAACGTGTACACAGTCTTCTTATGATATGTGCTAGAAATCTGGGGAGGTCTTTGCGGGTAAGGAGAGGTGGAGAACAAATAAAGATTTAAACTAAAAGGCACGGTGAAAAATACACCATATTTTTCTCAAAAGTCCCTATTTATAAATTTAGTTGCTGTATTATAGAAAAACTATTGAGCATTACTCTTCTCCAAATATTCAACTATAAAAAAAGCAAACATTTAAATAACATACAACATAATAATATCCCATCATAACCAAAATGATTAAGCCCTAAACATATTTCACCCAGATAAAAATGTTACTCCCATAGCACTTGCCTAGCACACACGAGGCCCTGGGTTCGATCCTGAGCATCACATATAAATGAATTAAATGAAGGTATTGTGCCCAACTACAACTAAAAAGTAAATATTAAAAAAAAATATTACTCCCATACATCTGGCAAGTTTGGTATGCTTTTTCTCATATCTCCTGCTTTCTTTCTTTTTTGGACTGGGGATTGAACCCAGGGGCTCTTAACCACTGAGCTACATCCCCAGCCTGTTTTTTACTTTGAGACAGAGTTTCACTAAGTTGCTTAAGGCCTTGTTATGTTGCTGAGGCTGGCTTGAACTTGCAATCCTTCTGCCTTGGCCTCCTGAGTTGCTGGGATTACAGGTGTATGCCGCTGTACCAGGCTAAAAGGTAATTTAAAACTAAAATATTTTTGAGATATTTTGTATTCTTTTCTAATACTAATACTTCAATATATTTTACACTTATAGCACATCTCAACTTGGACTTAGCACTTTTCTGGTGCTGACTAGTCACCTATGACTAATGACTACTGTAAAGGGATAAGGTTGCTTAGCTATGACTTGCAGTTGATAGCAAATATAATAGGGATGATAGGAATACATAAATGAGTTAGAAATCACCATAAGGGAATAACTAGACAAGTACAAGATATGGAGTAATCTATTTATCTAGGGGCTGGGGCTGTAGCTTGGTGGTAGAGGTCTTTCTTGCCTCACATGCCTGTAATCCTTAGTGGCTCAGGAGGCTGAGGCAGGAGGATCAAGAGTTCAAAGCCAGCCTCACCAACTTAATGAGACCCTAAGAAACTCAGTGAGACACTGTCAAGCACCCCTAGGTTCAATCCCTGGTAAAAAAAAAAAAAAAAAATCAAAACCAAAAATCCTGCAGAGGAGTGTCATGATACCTGCGACCTTGTTTCTTGAGAAGGGGTAATATCACAATTTTATGTTTGAAACTTTGTTTCATGTTTTAGATGAGATAAATACAGAGACACACAGATAAATGGTATGGCTAAAAATTGAGATAAGGCACAGATGTTCTACTTGTCTTTCAACTTTCATGTCTGCACGAAAACTTTTGTAAAAATAAAAGCAAATGATTTATGTTAGTGGTTCCCCCAAATCAGATGGGCTGAATCAATATCACCTGAAAAAAATTAAAAAAATAAGATTCTGAGTTCTGAACCTCATTCTTCAAGTTAGAATTTTTTGTACATTACGTGTATAAACTCAAATTAAATCCATCACTGACATTTTGGTGAATTGGCCAAACAAGAATCAAGTATTGCTTACTTGCTGGAGTAGGTGTCATACAATCCCACTTTTCCATCATCTGTTCCAAATGCTAAGCAACCTTCCTTGTTTGGGTGCCAGCACAGCTACAAGAAAAGAGTTTCCAAATGAAAATATATGAGAAAGGGGACACACTGTTATGGGAATCTTAAGCATCTAAGCATTCAAGTGGGAGACTTTCTTGCTGTTGATTCCTTTTAATTTTCATTGTTTAAAAGAAAAAAAAAGATGGATTAATAGCAAAGTGAAAGTCATCTGTAATTTCACCATGCAAAACAAAAATTAATTGCCAATTTTGTTATCTTTCTTTTCAGACATTTTTGTGAATAAACTTAAATACTTATGATAGAAAAAACATGACATATTGTAGACTAGGGTAAAAGATTCTAGAATAGGGGCTGGGAATTCAGCTCAGTGATAGAATGCTTGCTTAGCATGCATAGAAACCTATCCCTGGCACTATAAAAAGAAGAAAAAGATTCTAAAACAATTTAGAAAATACAGTTTAATTAATAATTAATAAATTTGGAATGATGTATCTCAAATTGTCAAGACTATTTCTCTGGGTCATGGTAATGGGGGCATGGAGTAGAGGGTATTGTAGAAAAGAAAGTCCAGTTTCTACACTTTGTTATTTAGTGTTCTTTTAAAATCACCCATATTTATTGGGTTTAGACTAAATAGCCAACACAGAGGTATCATTTTAGAGAAAACAAAAAATCAAAACATGTTTTCTACCCTGCATTCCATTTTATAATTTTTATAAATGATTAACATCCTTCCATAGTTAAAAAAACCTCACTACTATTTTTAGTAATTTGATACCATTCTAATATGTAGTTATATTATAATAATAATCTCCCATAAATACATATTTAGGTTGTTTTTAATCAATTTATTTCTGTTAGAAACATGACAAGTAAAACAAAGCCTTAATAATTTCAAACTCTGAATCTAGGGATGGTGAGTTTGTTTGGAGGATTCTGCTTTCCTAGTTTCAAACTTCATCAAAAATACCTTTAAACAACTTTTGATTTATAACAGAGTTCACTTAAATGAGTGGATATTCTTAAAAAAAAAATTCAAAGAAAGTATCCTTACCGCTGTAACCTTGGACTTGAACCCTGCCAAAAGTTTTTCACATCATAGTTGTTCTTTATGGAGAGAGTGTTCCACACACGGATCATGCCATCCCCAACGCCTATAGCCAAACAGCCCACATCCACAGGAGAGAAAGCTAGGCTGTAGGCAAACCCACCGAGGGAAGGCAGGGTCCAGCAGCACTCCAGTGTGGCCAGGTCCCAACATTTTACCTGGAAAGATTAAAAGTTAGGGCCTAAATATTTCAAAAAAGCAGAGAAATAGGAAAAAGACTCCAATATTCCAAATGGGAATAAGCTCATAGTGAGCAAGGACAATGTAATTTAACCATTCAGTAGGAACTGGAAAAAGCATCTCTTAGGGGAAAAAAATCAGCAATAATCACACAGCTCAACAAGATCTTGGAATATATTTATTCCCAGAGATGTCCAGTGAATTCAGGGTCATAGAATAAACCAGAACCCATACCTCCCATTTCCCAGAGGTCAGTGGTCTTTCCATTCCTGGTAATCTCCTCATTCAGCAAACTAAATAAGGAGGAACACTTCTTCAGCATGTGGAAAGATGGGAGTTACAATCTAAAAAGCAAAATGGCTTACATTCTAGGAGTAGAAAGTTTTTAGTTATTACCTAAATAGAGAGACTTGAGAGAAAATGAAGTTTATGAGCCCAGCTTAGAAGCAGAACAGCAAGGTCATGGGCTCTAAATACAGCCAATTCTCCCTCAGAGAGATTTCACCATGAGCAGATGATTCTGCTTCTTAAACTACAGATGGGGATACGTCAAAGCATGATGATCTTATGTGCCCTTCTGAGGACACTTCTGCTCATCTTTATCATAAACACTTTAGCAGAAAAGCATCTTGGTGGTTCCTCACATTTCTCCTCTCTGTGCACTGCTGATATATAGAGTGCCAACTGGCAACAGCACCTCTAAAACTTTAAGTAGGGAGGCGGTATGAAGACCGAGACTTTCTAATCCCACCCAGATTGCAAATCCCTATTTTACAAAGCTGATGAAATCTAAGCAGTTCTTACATCTCTATCCATTGATGTGGAAAGAAGCAGCTGCTTGTCGTCCTCAGTTTGCAAAGGACATAAATTAAACACGATTCTGGAATGATTCTGTCCTTCTGATGAAGTGCTAAAGAGGGTATATTTCCGTCTCCAAGACTGAGTGAGATCCCAAAGCAGCAGTTCACCCCTGTGAAGAAGAACACAAGCAATCTAAAGCAAGGATTATTGAGTCAGAGTCTGAGTCCACAGTTGTAAAATAATTATTATTGGTCCTTTGATAAAATAAAAATCAACATGGCTGCAGAAGGGTCAAAAAGAGAGCCATCTTCCTTTTCTGAGCCTTAAGAGATTCACTGCCATGCAGAAATGTCACAAACCGAATATGCCAGAGGGAAAATACTTGACTGCCTATTTGCCTCTTGACTTGAACATTCCAAAGGACTGGTAACATTTATGACAACCCTGCTCTGTGACAGTTTCCAACTGCTAGACCTGCTTCAATCCCCCAGACAATGCTAAGTGGCAGGTACCCACTTCTTGTTAGAAAGTACAAACCCATGCATTTCCAATTTGCAAATCTGTTTTGCACCTGAATAAAAGTAGTTTTACTTTTCTTTTAACCTTGTTTGTGATCTTGATTCACACCTTTATGGAGAGAAAATCTGCATTTTCTGCCATATTCACAAACTATTTCTTGGAGAACACAGAAAATCATGAATGCCTACAGAAAGAGAAGCAAGTAACATGGACGAGAAGTAGGAGGGGTGTTTTATTATGCATGCTTTCATTCTTCTTTGAAATATGTAAATGTTCTAGACTAACTTTTGAACAGAGTTCTCTACCAGCTTTAATTATAAAATACCATTATAATCTGAATAGCTTCAAAGCTCAAGAAACAATCTCTTTTTTTGGATATTGGTGGAAAGTAGGGTCGTGGTTAATATTTTGGAAGGACTCTATGTGTTTTACCTGTATCACCTCATTTAAAGGAAAGAACTTGTCTACTAAATTAATTTATCATCTTCAGCAACTACGCATTTAAAATGTCTATGGCTTGCCTCTCCCACCCAAAGTGCATGCTGGTCCCCTGGGAGCCTTCCAGGGGCTCAACTGGGGGCCATGACATTCTGCCAGAACTGAAGTGGAAGATACCTAGCTGCAGAATTAATCACTTGCTTGCTCGGCAGGAGAAATCCCCACGCCTTTTGGAGTCTCAGAAGTCTTCTGGATTGATAATTGTGGTGTGAAAACAGAGGAAAAATGGTTTGTATTTTCCCATGGAAAGTGCTCAATCAGTTTTGTTACTGAGTGGTCACAGCCATGCTATGGGACAAAAAATAGTATCACCCTCTATGCCTCTTGCACACATAAGGCAGGTAAGCAGCAGGTTGATTCTGAAATTCAGATGTGTCTGACTTCAGAGTCAGATACTCTTTAACTCAAGGCTTATTGTGTGTGTGTGTGTGTGTGTGTGTGTGTGTTTTAAACAATTTTGTTTGCAGACAGCACAGGTCTCATGATTTTTACATTTCAACTGGCCCATCATAACACAAGTCAATACTTGGGTCATAATGGGCCACTTGTGTGTGTGAGACCCATCTTCTGTGTCTCTAATGAGAAGCCTAGGAATCTTGAGGCCACACAGGAAAACAAAATTTATCAGAAAAGGTATGACCAAAGCAGACTTACCCAAAACAACTGGACACCAGCTGCGTTGGCTGATCCCTGGGCCAGTAGAGTGTCAACCATAGGCGCTCTTTGACGGTTGGGTCTACACCCCCTCCTCTTCTCTTCAGAAAAGGTAGTTTCAAAATCATCACTCCTGTAGGTGAAATGGCCAGTGAGCACGAAAGACACTGAAACCATCAACTTAAAGACAATACATGATCTGCGATTTAAAGGTTTGTTAGTTACTGACAATGAATATACTATTTTCCCATGGAAACATTATACATGGTGATTAATACCTGCTCATCTACCTTTAGGTCAAGCAAGATCTTCAGGCTGTCTTGGCAACCCAAACACATTAAGAATATTTCTTTTGGTCTGGAAAAATGAGCTCCCATTTAGAACTGAGAACTCAAAGTGGTAATGCAACCCAAATTCAGAGCTGGATGGACAGAGAGCATGGAATCCTCCTCCTGTTGGTCATAAACCCCTTTGGCAGACAACACATTGTGACAGGGGAGCATCTCTGTCAGCACTAAGCTGGTGGTTCCTAATCTGTACTGGGTGTTAGAACCACAGGTATAGTTTTAAAAAATACATGTGTCAGGGTCCAGCATCTAGATTCTGATTCAGTAGATTTGAAGTGG